ACACTTCATGAAATAACCATGCTGCATGTCTCAGCCTAAAGGTGGGGAAGCTCCTGCAGAAGATGGAATAACTGTGGCAGTTATAAAAGAAATGGAACCACCTGGAAAAACTAAAATTGCGTCGAAATTGTCTCAACGTTTACAGGCATGAAACGCATAAAGTGTGGAATGATGTAAACATTCTTCTTGAGATTAAAAGAGGGAATTATAAATTGTCCACGGAGATCATAAACAGCCATATTATGGCCAATTTATACGCCAACCAACCCTATGAGCATAATCTATAATGCGTTATACTATTTACAATAAATATACTATCAATCAGTCCGAGGAAAGACAATTTAATTTCAAGTAGCATTATGCCCGCCTTTCTAGATTGTTAAAATGCATTCACAGCATATTTTAGTTCAGAAACAATGAAATACAGGAAGTTAGCAAAGAAGGCTGCAGGTTTGGACTCAAGATTAAAGTTGTTGGGAAACCACAGAAACATACACACAGCAAAACAACAGAGACAGCCACGGTTGTTGTTTTATGTAGATCGACAAGCGAGACCAGGATGAAGTGCCTTTGGGGAACTGAATATGACCATGGGAATCTGCAAAGCAATGAGCTTAAAGAAGAAAGCTGTCAATATCAATTGGTGCACATTACATTACTTGCTATAGTGACACATGCGTCAAAAACATGGACAGTAAGAGACAGATAATGGAACACATAGATCTGGCAGAAAAAAAACATATTTTCGTGGCATCGTATTGACTGTTGGGGAAAGTGTGCTGGGGCAGGATGATGGTAAATAGACGAAACTGGTGACAGAATGGCAGCCAAAGGATGAAACATATTGAAGAATGAGATAGTGCCATGGCAGGACTGCCTGGGATGGTGATGCTGTGGGGATGCCTTCATCCAGCAGTAGATTAAACATGGCTGATGATTCATGTTTGCATTGCTTTCGCACAATGGTGGTCATGAAACATGGAAAAGATTAATTACATGCCTTGTTGTTTGTTTGTTTCATTTGTTCCACGCATAAGCCGTGTGGCCAGTTGTCCGGCTATTGTACACGGGACATCCGTGGTGCATGAGTACAGCAACAACGCAACAAGGGAAATGAATAAGTACAGAGACATACTTCGGTAATTATATGGTTTGAAAGTAGTGCAGTCCTCTACAAAGCAATCGCTTAAAATAATTGCCATTAGCTAAGGTGCGTGCACATACACCGCAAATGGAAATTCAGCAGCAGACCATTAATAGAAGCGGTGTGCATATATCTCCTGGCAGCTTACCAGATGCCTCTGTGGCGGTGACATTAACAACACATCTCATGGTGTTGCATGTTACGCCGCGATTACACGTGCGTCAAACTTCCCCAGCAGGCCTCACATCAGCCCCCACCCAGCACTTGGCGAGACGGGGAAGGGAGAGAGCGAGGCGAGTGTTGGAGGTGAACGACGCGACTTGACAGTCGTCCGCAGTAGTGCTGTAAGGAGCGCTCACAGAAAAGTTGGCGAGCCACATTCACAGCCGTGTACCAGACTCAGTTGCGCATTGCCGTCAAAGTAAAATGCGTGGTATAAGCGCACTTTTTATTTTTTAGTCGGATCTTGATATTCCATGTTGAGCACATTGAGGAATGGTGTTTTGGCTCTTGGTATTTTTATATGTTTTAATTACTGTTGAATAAATGTATGCTGCATACGTGATGCAGTTTACTTTTATTTAACAGCACACACATGTTGATGATTGTGAATGTTTTAAAATATATAGAGGGATGTAACCTACACAAGTTTTTGTATGTTTCACGAGGATCATTTTATAAATACAGAATCATACGTGGGCTAAAAAGCCCACGAAATATTCAAAGTGATTGATTCATGTTTTTTTGTGACTGCATATCCCTTGAAATTTCACATTTCCTCTTGTGTATTGATACATATGCTTTGTAAAATGAATGCTATATCTCAGTGTCTTCTTGTTCTGTCTAAAATATTCAGCGAGCGTTGCTTTACCCTCAGAGATGTTGACCACATTACCATTACAATTTAAAATAAGTTGTGAGAGCTCCAAAACACTTGCGAGAAATAGTTTGATCTCAAGAATAACATCAAGTGTGTTCTTTCACAGAGTCATCAAATGTCTTCAATAAGCACACGGATAACGTTTTGGAAAATATGCACTATGCGTAGAAACTTCACAAGCAGAAAACCTATTTAAAACCAGTACATTTAATAAAGGTTTGAATCTATGAAACCAACGACTTGTATTATATTGCTTGCCATGGCAAACATTCATTCTTCCTGGCCTGAGCCTCCCGAGGGCGACTCAGCCTTAAATGGGTGCCTGCTGTGGGATACACTCTCCAGTTAAGTGTTGGTGGTACATCAGCGTGATCGGGGTTGGTGTAGGTGGGTGGACGGTGGGTTGATGTCGAGGGACCAGTGGAGCTGCGCATCGGAAGAGATTGTGGAAGTGACTCCATTGAGCTTGGGTGATGGCAGAGGTGTGTTGGGGACAGAGTGGTGGTGTTCTTCACGGGTTTTATTTATCACCCAGGCCTTCAGGCCAGGAATGTCACGAAAAAAATTGCATACGAATGACACATTCACGCAAGCACCCGATGCTCCGTTTTGAAGTTTTAAAATGAAACATATTTTGAATTGTATTATGTTTTGAATTAGATAATTTAATTTCTTAATTAAAAGCTTATATAATTTTACATCTGGAATACTTACCTAATTGAAAACGACATTTCGTGTGAATTTCCTCTCGTCGTTAAGTAGATGGCCTTGCTGGGGGTTTGGTTCGATACGGAATTTAACTCGCCCCTCTACAGCCCCGCCAAGCGTTGGTTGGCTGCTTGGTCCCGGTCAAGTGATGCACTTCAACCAATCCGTGCCGTGTTAGTCACAGAATGACAGAATGACAGAATGACAGAATCACAGACCTGGGTGTTTATATATTAGGATAGGTTTCAACACCTGCTTCCAAAAATCACGTAATTTGATCTCAGAATTCACTCTATTTCATCCAAAAGTATCTGGCTTTCGAGAAAATATCTGAACAGCCTCTGTGGTACTCGTTACGCTTCACTTAATCTTCAACGCTGCATGATTCTCGTGGTCGGTGTGTCATCCCAGTGGTCGGTGTGTCATCCCACTGCTCGACACATCTGAAGCGTCTGGCACTGTGGATCGCGTTAATTCTCGCGATCCTGCAATGCAAAAATCCATCTAGCACCTGTACATGGACCGATGTCATCGCTCCATCTCCTCGGACATCCTCTGGCTGCCACTCCGATGTTATGGTTGACCATCTCCATCGCCCCTTCTCTCCGTGACGAGTCCTGCCCAAGCTCTCTTACTTTTCCTCATACGTTGGCTGATGTCGTTAACCTGCATATTTACACTCACCCACGTGTTCCTCTTTTTGGCTCTCACAGCACCCATCTCGCCACGCTTCTTGGCACAGATTTTAATTCATGACACTGTTTCTGAACAATGTCACGTAACCATACCGGTAATAATAATAAAATACAACTTGTAAAACGCACACAATTTCACGGACATAAATGGCCGAAACTCTTCAGGCACGAAAAAAGAATCAGAGCGCCCGGTTGTAACAACGCGAGCATGAAACTGCGTCGATGTTTTGAAGACACTAAATAGTGACCACTCGGCCATTCCGCCACCCAAAAACCTCACCATGTGTTTTTTTGTCTGGCACAGACAGCAGTGGAATTCTCAACGCTTTGCCCACGTAGGGCATCCTTCCAGGGCGAAACAGATCAACAAGGGCAGCCCAGTCAGTCCACCTTATCTGAACTGAGCCATTGATGTTCCAAAAATATTATTTGAAAGGGTTTCGGGATAAAAATAGGGCACTTGATTATTTGGGGGTATTCCTCATGCATATGACAGAGTACAACATTCAAGGACAAATCACGAAATGTGTTCGCATACCAGATTTTTTTGTAACGATTGTTTATTAAATTAGTTATTTCAAAATATACACAACATAATTGTTTATTTCTATTCATTTTACTTTCCATTATTCTCGCACAACAATGTTGCATTATTGCATTTATTTTAATTGCATTGCATTCGCCATTAACCCACAAAGCTTCATTCATTGAAAATAAAACCTTGAGTTCACATAAAGATGCCATTATTGAAAACTTGTGATAAAAAGTTGCTCTTAAAACAATCCAGTATATAACTGCTTTGGCATTTAAGTACATTCTAATTCGAGTGCTTAGCTGTAAGAAATAAATGCATGTGTTTTCTTAACAATTCCCCTTAAACAGGAGATGGTTGCTAGACACAGGCGTTATCTGTAGATTGAATGCATTAAACATTGTCTCTGTATAACAATAATCTTTGAATGCTAGCAAAGTAAACTCCCAAGGCAAAAGAAGCACTGTACCTTGATTCTCGGTGCATACGTGTACCAATTAGGTCGCAATGTTAAACCAGGTGCATGTAATTATGCTGATGGACAAAGTAATCGTCAAGTCTTCTTGCTTTCTATTACATCAGATAGTTCATTTGTCAAGAGAAACTTCAAATTTCTGAATCTGCATTCCAGAGCTACCAACTGTAGCTGAGACCATGTCACACATCTTGTCATTAGGCTCGCAGTACAAGTTTACTTAATTAAGAAACATCTCCATAGTGATACAATTCAATGACTGAAAGCCACTTCTACAACATATATAATTATTGTGCAAAGCTAAAGTGTACTTCATTATTTTTTTGCAAAGAAATTTAATATATCTGCAGCATGAAGTGCTATTTTACAGTATGTATCATCTGTATAGCTTTATGTACAGTGTAATCACTGACTAGCTTATACCGTAATTTATTAATACACATTTGCAGTTTAAAAACACGAAACAATAAAAACAATTTTCAAAACGATCGTTGAGGTAAATACAATCCAAATTTTTTTTTTTATTACAAATAGTGTGCATAGTTCATAACTTCCTTTCGATTTTAGAAACAATATCCCAGTTGACAACATTGAAAACGTCACTGGTTTAGAAGGGGGGGGGGTCTCGAAATTATGCAAAATGCAAGGAAATAATTAGGCTCTGATGCACTTGGTTAGAACAACAACAACAACGCTAAAACCCGTCAAACTCAGCCGTGATTTGGCCCGGGCGTGGGACAGCTGTGGCGTGTGCGTGGTAGCGGTACGGCGAGGCTTCCTAAACGGTCGGCACAGGCGGACGAGCGTCTGCGTTGCTGGATTCCTCTTCCATATCAATCTGCTGCCGGGCAAAGTTGATGAACACCTGCCACGTGCCACAGAGAGAGAGAGAGCCAGCATTAGCACTCGGCGAAGGGTAACAGCAGGTGGCAGATTAAGTACCTAAGAAGCCCTGTGCTGGCCAATGATTGTAGAGAACGGGGCAAAGCCAGATTGACAAATGCAGTAAATTGTGAGCACGAAATGCAGGAAATGCGAACCCCATGCATAATTCATAATGCCCCATAACATATGTGCATGTTTTTATGAACAGCCTTTAGCAGACCGCATACCGATAGAGCTAAAATGATGGCCATTATTTGTTTGTCACAAAGACATTTAAGCCTTTGTGTCACAGTTAAATGCCTCATTAAGGGTTTTCATTAGAACAAAACTGCTCCATTGTTGGTACATCTGTTTGCAACCTGCTACGCTGCGGCTATACGATGTTGTTGTCCTGGCCTTTCTCATTCATTTTGAGTCAATGGGTTCAATCTTGTTAGGCGTGGGTATTTACGTAGCAGCCTCGAGGCTGTGTGTGTCTCTCCCATTCATTCTATGGGTGAAAGAGTAAAAGGCTATTTTCTATACTTGGGCCCTCAGGCACAATGCAGCAGCAGCAGCAGTAAAGAATTGTCTACGCTCTACTGATGAACGCTAATGAGGTAGAGACCATTAAAGATCCGTACGTGATTTGATTTGAGAAGCGCAAGCTGGCGGGAGTACAGGCGATGTGCAAAATTGTGTACACTTTCTGCAGGGTAAGAAAATGCTCCGTAGATGTCACGGACTGCACACGTTTTGTGTGGCTTAAGGCCAGTTGCATTAATCATGTTCTTAACATTGTCTGGCAAGGTTCAACATTTATACAGGCAATGCTTTGCAAGCAAATAAGCGACTTTCAATGAGTAACTGTTTAAAGAGAAAGTCATCAATATCAGATTTTATGACAAAGGCAGATTGAGACACGGCTTATAATTCCAGCGATGCTGCCGTGGTGCTACGGTCCGCTGGTCCCGGTTCAGAGGTCGCCGTTTCGGTTTGATCTCTTAGCGCCGCAGTTTCTCACACAATGGGGAGAGTTTCTTAAACTCTCGCCCGCCTCTGTTCACCCAGCACTAAAAGTGGGTTCACTGCAGCGAGTCGATCAGCAGGAGTGTGTGGTGGGGTAAAGTGTGGGTAAAGTCACGGAGGTAAAATAAAATAAATGAAAATAACTCAATTAAATAAAGACGTTTCGGAGGCAACACAAGCTTCCACCTGAAGACGGAAGCTTGTGTTGCCTCCGAAACGTCGTGATTTTATTTTAGTTGTTTTCATTTATTTTGTTTTACCTACGTGACCTTACCGAAAAAAACAAAGAGTATGAATCCTTGCAGTCACGAAAGCTTCAAATCTAGAAAGTGTGGGTACTCCCACCTCTTCCAAGACGTCTGGTCATTGTGAAAGAGTAGGCCATAAAAACTGCTTTTTGTGTTTATTTTGCTGTACTTCTCCTGCACCTTTGATTACCACAGTTGGCTACGTACGGTGCAAAATAACTTCAACATACGTACATACAAATACCCTCTAGAGGAGCTCTCTAGAACTCCCTTCAGAGATGACCACACGCAGTGGCATGAGCAAGTGATTTCAAAAGTGCACCTTAACCTCTGAATCTGTTGCATCATATTACCTGGTCCAGTGTTGTCTGGCTGATGGAGTAATGCTGGATACTCAGAGATTCCTTCTCTTTCTCCAAGGCAATGAATATTTCAGAGAGTTTTCCTGCATTGCTAGGAACTTGGAACTCCAGTTGGCTTATGTGCTGTTCCTAAAAAGTCAAATGTCACAATGCACAGTGATAAACCACATACCAGCTTAAAATAACATAGCATAATCTGCCAGATAGCACTACAAAACAGCAACTTTACAGCTTAGCTTGTGTTGCTGCTGTATGAAATCAGAAGTGACATTTTACGTGTGATAATGGTTCATCTGTGGACCTTTAGAATTCACACATTCGCTGAGCATGATTACATTCTGTTCAAGTTTTCTACTCAAGTATTCTATTCCTGCCGCTTTAAGCGAGTATGCATTTTTTTTTTTACAAAATTAATGCGGTCAAATATGATGTGATCTTGTCGATTATCTGTGTACACTACATCCCACTTTTTGCACACTAACTATGAAAGTGGTGTGAACATTTGCAATTTGGATGCATAAACCCACACTGCTGTGTGTGTACATATAGGAGTGAAGCAGTAGGGATTATTCACTTAATACTGTCATTGCATTGCACCCGTGAGAAATGATAGAAACACACCACTTAAAATCACACTCAATCAACAGCAAATATATCGATTTGTAAATGTGATTTTGAGGTTGTAAATAACCTTACAAGTAACTGGAAAAAATATATATATACAATTATTAAAATTGTATTTAATTATAAGGCTGGAAGTTCAAATTCGGGTTGGGCATCGAATGTGGCCCAGCTATGTAGATGGAATGAAGACCACTTATCGACAAGTTGCTTTTGGACCAGGATATACATTTAGCAATTTTAACCATCGTGTCCACCTGGCCTGTCAGTGCCTGAAGGCACACTCTAGAATGGTAGATATCCACATCATGGTGATATTGCTTTGATGGTTTCATAAACTTAAGCTTCCTTCGCTACAAAGCAGCTTAAACTAGATCAGGGGTCACCAAACTTTTTTCACAGTGGGCCGGATAACTGAAAGAATGATGAGCGCGGGCCGCATAATAAATAAATAAATATTCTGGAGCGTCGGACCTGTGTTGACAGCTGGAAAATCTGGGGGCGGGAAAGATGCGTGTTTGTGTGTGTTGCCATGGAAACCATGGTAACGTGTTGCCATGACGTTGCCATGGAAACCATGGTAACGTCAGAGCGTAGGCGGAGCTACCACGAGCCGGGGAAGGACTTGGGATGGCGCGAAATAAGCAAACATTACAATAAACAAGAAAATCTAGATACGATAATTTAACATTTAAAATAGCACATTTAAGGACACATAGCAGTCAGGAGGTCTCCGCACGCGTGAAGATCTCCTAGTATTCTAAACATAATATTTACATTTAAATTGTATCACAACGTCTCGTGTTCCATACGTTTTATCAACCACATTCAAGTACCGTCGGCGGGCCTGATGGACTGACGTCGCGGGCCGAATTCGGCCCGCGGGCCGTAGTTTGGTGACCCCTGAACTAGATCATTACCAAATGTATTTATTAATGGCAGAATTTTTCATTGATGCCGGTTTATGTGTATTACACAATTTAGATTTAATAAGTTGGTAATACATTATTCAAGGACCACCTCCAAAATGTCGTCCTATAACCTTGACAAGTGTAATATACAATACGGTGATTATTATTATCACACATTGTGCCCAATCACATGAAACCAGTGTTTGAGATTCATGTATATCACCAGAATGTATGTGTATTTTTATACAGTTTAGTTCTGGAGATAAACCATATCAGCAGCTTTCACCTGCCGAAGTATCCGAACAATATTTGTACTCGTATCTCGTGCATCAATGTAAGGGATGTTGCCGTGATGATTAGTACACTGGCTACTAAATCGGTCTCCCGACACTGCAGTTGAAAGAATGGTAAAGTTTTTGTTGTTATGAACGTATTTAGATTACTTTCAGGAGGTTTCTTAAATATACCCAGCTCTTGTCCATGGCAACAGTATAAATGGGTAACACCACAGTTAGTAGACCATCAGGTAGCGTGTCATGGGCTAAAGTGTGGGTACTCCCACCTTTTTCAAGACGTCTTGGCCAGTGTGGATGAAAAGGCTAAAATTACTCTCGATAAGGGGCTCTCCAGAACTTCCTATAGTAAAGGCCTTTTGCCAACAGTAATATGGGAAGGTTAGTCCATGGCCGCATCTTTATTTATTTTTATGAAGGTAGAATTATTCTTAAATCTTCTCTATAGTAAATAGATTCCCTTTAAGCATATTGAACTATGAGAATAGGTTTTCCCCTTTAATCTGGCAACAAAACAGCTGCGTTAAGATGTTAAAACACCAAACTGAAATCTTTTACAAGGAATCATGTCTGCATTAACCACAATGCTTGTGGTCAGAATGCAAAAAAAAACATACTCTGATAACATATGCATTGTCTTTGAAACTGATTGGTCCACACCAAAGACAGCTCTCTTTTAAGCCTCATCTCAAAACGGTGTTAGACCAGAGGACGCCAAAAGGCATATTGAACTAGTTTTGTATATACACATTTTTAATCCAACTTGTGTTGTAACACTCGGCATCATTCTGGCTATATCCAGCCCTCTGCTTGATTTAATGGCTGGAGGTTTTTGCAAAGCTGGTAATGGCTTGGTGCAATGCCTCATACCTTTAAGTAGGCGCCTGGGAAGTGAGATGTGATGAACTCTGTAACTTCTGTGACTTTGGAATTACCGCTGCTCAACCGCAGCTTGATCATATGCCCATTGCCAAACCTGTTGCAGGTAAACAGACAAAAACAGATGATGCAGGTCACTGTGCCAGATATGTGTGTACACCATGGGGAGTGGTAGCCAGGTGGTAGGCACACTCGGAGCAGTCGGAACACAGTCACCTGGGTTCAGTTTCCAGACATGGATGGATAGTGTCACTGGAAATTAGTACATCGTGCGGTGCGTGTAACACTTTGCATTAGCAAAGCACCTCTTTGTGTGCCACTGTGTTGCATTATTTCTCACCATTCATATTTCATAATTTCTTCGTAATCCTATCCTGATAGCGATTGCAGTGTAATTTCATGAGATTAAGACTCAATTTAGATCTCTCACAGAGCAGACATTTCAGAACTACTTATGAGATCCCTTACAGCGAGAGATCTCTGAAACACATTCCCGCCCACCCTGCCAGAGATTAATGCAGCCATGCTGTTCCTAATAAGGAGCTCACTAACAGCACTTGCTACGCTACACAGTAGAGACAAAGGATATTGGCATATTGGTTAGTTTTGTAGTCACAGTGTGAGGTTTCATGCGTATGAGCACATGAGGGTTACAACTAGATAGCAAGAAGATGGCCACATAAATAACAACCAAAGCTAATTCACCAATTGACATCACAATTATTCACATTATGTTAGATGTTCGTGCTGATTTATAAACGTTTATTTTGGGAAGCTGTGACAGTTTGCTGCGAAAGTGTATAGTGACATCCCTCAATAGTAATGTATTAATGCCACATGTTTCAATTGACACACGCGACAATGCTACATTAGAGGAATTGAATATCTGAACAATCATTCATAGTCAGTTCATGTCAGGGAAGGCCCGTTGAGTCAATAAGCTATTTTTCAATGGTGAGAACTTATGATTTACTACAATTGTTCTCATTATTATTTCAACATCTACATATTTTGCCTTTATTTGTTGTTTCCGCGCTCATGCACCATGGATCTCCCGTGCAAAAAATCCCGCAAACTGGCTACACGGGATGACCCGTGTAACAAATCAAATAAACGTAAACTCGCGTATTAATATTTGTATTCCATGAAGCAGTGGTTTCATGTGGGGGACTGTACCTGTTCTTGAGATGCTGCAAAGTACCCAAGCACTTGAACTGTCCGTTCACCATGATGGCCAGCTTGTCACAAAGGGCCTCACATTCTTCCATGCTGCGTACACAAACACACGCCGCACACACACAAGAGGAGTGTCACACGGCCAGCCCATGGGCTTTTCGGTCCCGGAGGGAGCCACTTATTGGACCCCCAAGGAATACCTTAAAACATTATTATTATAGTATGGCCCAAAGCATTATTCTAGAGCTCTGCCATGGCTGGCCATGGTGTTCTGTAGTGGCAGATTGTCTTAGAAGAAATGAGCACCACTTGTGCTATAAGGGTAGCCAATGCCTAACATGCTCTTTTTCTCAATCACCAGCATCAATGTATACACTCACTCCTGGTCTCCGTTGGTTTAATTCGGATCAAATACACTTTAGGTGTATAATTTGAAGTATTAGCCAACCATTTGTGTACCCGTTTGACCGTGATTAATTATTGCCATTGTTTCATTGAGGTGGTTGTAGTATGGTGGTTAGCAGACCGTGCTATGAACCGGCCAACCAAAGTTTAATTCCTGGCCAGGGCTAACACGAGCGGTGTGTGATATTTTAATTAGGGCCCTTCAACAACCTGCGCTGACCATTGTGGTGAAGTGTGGTCAATCAGCCTCCATGATTGACATGTTATGTGGAAACCTTAATTCAACATTGGATTCAAGAATCTGCCACATATGAAAGAATACGTCTCCATCCATCACACTATATCAGGTTGGATCGTCATATTACGAATCTGGATTTGCACCAGTGAACAATGACCTGAAACACAAACCACTGATCATTAGCATGCATCGCTGCCCATACGAATATTAATGTTCATGGGGAAAATGAAAAGTGTTTATTTGCCAAAATGAGCTTTGGGCAATACGTTCCTCTCTATACAGGTTTAAACCAGCGGTGGATATTTTACATTCCTATGGTCAGTGCCACTGTCTCAATGGACAAGCACTGTTGAAGTGGTATATATTTTGTTATTCCTGGATTGTTAGTTGGCTCAATTGACAACAAATCACGATTTGATCTCATAACTACCCTATTCTGACTCAAATGTCAGGCCGAAGCACCACCTCAGTGATACGCTGTTGATAATAACAATGTAATGTGCTCATGGTAATGAGAATATTACACGTTCAACACGATCAACACCATTCCCTTTGATGGTACAGTCAAGGAATATTATCAAATCAGTGCACTGTATCCTAATTGTGGGCTACATTGGTGCCACTGTAATGGCCGAATTATGATCCCGTCTTGCAATTTCATTACGAGGGCGCTCGAATTGCTCTCCACGGCTAAACGACCACTTTGCCGATCTGGGAGGAATTCCTGTGGACAGAACGATCGGCAGGCAATGCGAGGGATGTTGCCACCGTCCATACCTGTGGGAGGTGAGAATAACAGAGCAGCCCCCGCGGACCTCCCTTGTGATTGTCTTCCAGAGGTAGCGCTTGGATTTGGGGTCCATTCCAGAGCTGGGCTCATCCTGTGAACAGAGCAAAGCCCCTTTTGTTGGACCACAGCAGTGACGACAGTAAGGTCCTGGAAAAAAATGTCCCTTCATGCGAAGAAATGTTGTTCTGGAAATTGTAAACGTAAGCTTTGGACGTTGTCAAAAGGTAAAATTCTGCACCACCAGGCTCTCAAGGCAAATGGATATTCTGACTGAACAATCCTCAAAGCCATCACCCCAACCGTGAGGAAGGAGCCATCTGAAGATCCAATCAAAACCATCACCTTACCTTACATATCAGGGATAACCAAAAATATTTCCAAAATTTTGAACAAACACAAGATCCAGGTCCGATTTAACACAGTGCAAAAAATTCGTGACCTGATCCCATCTGTGAAGGGCAAGATCCCTGACATGCAATATCCCGGCGTCTACAAACTAAGCTGTATCTGCGGCAGCAGTTACATTGGGGAAACCAAACGACATATCTCGGACCGTGTTCGTGAACATGAGGCAGATGTGAAACATGGCAGGACCAATACTTCTGCCGTGGCTGATCATTACTTCAATGCAGCTGGCTCACATAAAATTGATTTCTCGAAGACTATGGTACTTTGCAAGCCGACTGGCTATCAACAAAGATTCGTTCACGAAGCCATCCATATATACAGACAGACACAAATTCAACCGAGACGACGGTTTTAAAATCAGCAATCACTTTTGGTCATGACTTGAGTTGTGTTTACTTGTCAACCTCTACCGTCAGCAGTGGATGGGTGTAGCGAGGTGCAATGCCCCCCCCCCCCCCCATCTCTGTGATTAAAACACACAACCACCACTAGCCTATAATAATAAAGTGACCAAAAAGGACAAAAGAGTACGTTTGACCTGTCAACTGATATAAATTCCACATTTATATGGTGGAGGCCAGTCTTTCCATTGGATGACTCCTGTTAACCTCACACAGAGTAGTACTCAATTTATTGAGCTCTGATGCCCAAACTGTATCTTGAAATTGCAACCTTTAAAACTGCGAGACAAACGTTTTAACCACATCACTTTCCAGCCAGATATCTCTGCCCAAGTTGGAGCGCTCTACCAATGAATCCAGTCATCTGAAATTAACGTGATTGTAACATGCATTCGGAATTCCTTTGGTCACCCAAATGAGCCTCCACACCTTGGCATGGATAGCGAGTCCTGCACTCACGTCAGAAGCAATAAGGTCCAGCTATTTCATTTCAGCATGGCAGATTTTAAGCCACGTTGACTTGGGATAAACCTCCCCAGGTACTTGGTCCGATTGAAACTGTAAAAATAAAATTGTACCCTTAGGGGTTAGCCTGAATTGAACCCATGAGATCGGATCCAAGCGTAATGCATCAAAGCAGCACTCCCATCTCACTGGGTTTGTACAAAATATCTGTGCTATATACCATACTACTTTACAGTAATATACTACTATACTTTAGCTGGAATGTAGCATGTTTATGGTAGAGTGGTTTGTTTGTACATTTTGATTGAAAATCCGAAGTGTCTTCAGTTATAAGACTCCGTCATTCTTCAAGCTGCATACCAATGTTGAACGAACATTTACATTGCTAAAGGACATTTGCAGATGATACATTATTAATGTTTGAGAATCCAGTCATCTGAAATGCCAATGCACGTGAATGTTTTTCCAAAAAAATATCAAAACTATACAGTTGCAATGATATTAAAATGAAATCCAAGCAAGATTACTATTTTCCCTGCTCCTTGAGTTTGTGCTCAATACTTTAACATGTACAGGGCCATGGCAGACACACACAATATATATTACTAGCCTTTTGCCCGTCCAAGGACGGGTGTATTTCAGTAAATCTGAAACTTGCAAGCGAAAATCAGACCGCGACGTGATATTCATTGCATCCATTAGTGTGCAATTTGTAAGGGCGTGGTGACACAGACCTATTTAATTTAACTGTTATAATCCCTTGTTCATCATGATGTCCTTTTTACTTCTATGTCTCAATAGCGTTACGGAGATCGCGTAACGTGAGGGTTCTGCCTTTGTAGTGAGGGTTGTAAGTTGACGCTGAGGAGGGGGGAGGAGGCGCCTCACCCCCCCATGTGGAGTGACGTCACCCACTAATTATTATTAATGAACAGGGGGCGTCCATTTGGAAGATGTCACCTCTTCATGATTATTAATGTGGGGGGGCTGTTCGATGCGGAGTAACGTCACCTGCTCATGATTATTAATGAGGGGGAGGTGCATGATTATTAATGAGGGGGACTGGCCGACTTGTAGTGACGTCACGCGCGGGACACATACATTCTTGGCTCATTATAGTAGTACATATACACACGAAGCATCCACACAGGTCTGTGTGTAAACCCTGTTTTTAAATGAGACCAAAAATAACATCTGTGCGGAAAATCCCTTGACCTCTTGTTGTTCTTGAACTTTGTGTGTATTATGTATGTTTTGCTGCTGGATGAACTCTGAACAATTTAAAATAAAACCTTTCCACTTGTGGCCAGCCCTTTCCTCCCTAAGACTCTCTATTTTTCATTTTTACTGACACAAATTGCTCATATATCTCTCTCTCTCTCCGAGGAGCATCAATCTTGGAATATTTGTTGACCAAAGGGATGAATGTTGTTTCCCTATGGGGAATTTTCAAGCCCCCATTATTTGGTTTCATAAAGGGACTTGAAACATTCTGCCACCATGTAGAGACTTTAAGCGAGCGTGAGAGTGTGTCCAATGTCACCGAGCCACCGTTTTATATTCAAAGGCAGCCGCCCTTGTGCTCAGCATCGTAGCGGCTCACACTGCAGCACCGTGCAAGTCACCGGTTATCGTTTGACGGTGGAAAACAAAACGTCCCATTAAGGCCAAGCGAAATGCTCCATCACTAATGTTCTACCTCCTGCATTTATATGACTCAGATGAAATATGTTAGCAACAAACTAATGGACCCTTGCAGGATTTGATGGGACACCGTGGCATGGTGTGATAAACACCTTTCAAGTCGCTTTGTTTTTATACTTTACAAATATAAAATAGGTAATAAGGGAGACTTATAAGGATAATGCAAAATAGCTTGATCGTGCTTGAAGATACTTCTGGATATTAAAAATGTTTGATAACTAGAATCATAAATCCCACCAAAGGCAATGGGCTATAAAATCAAGAATGCAATCCAAGCAATACCACACACAATGATAAACTAATTCAATTCAAGTCGTTTTCGATGCTGTTCTGAACATAAACATGTTTTATGTGAACATGGGACATATTGGAGGTGGTTGGGTAATGTTTCTGTAATATCTAATGTAACATTTTTACTTGCTTTGAAGGTAAATGCTTCTATTCAGCCCCGAATAAGCAATATTGTTTATAATAAGCCGTAGGCAGTATTATGGTAAAGACTGAAACATGGGTTCAGTAAAATATCCATAACAGATTGTAGAAAAAGCATCTATCACCTTTGCAAAAAAACACAAAGAACTGCGAGCTGTTCAGACACTGCCTACATCAAAATAAAATTTCTGTTAAATATCAAAACTCCAGCAATGGAAATGAAAGTGAATCCTTCAGGTATTGCATGCAAAGGAAACTCAACAATCACGCGTACTCTTCGCAGCACGCACAGCGTTAAAACTGTTGATCTATTATGACAAGCAATTCAGCTGTGCATGCTAATTTATACTAAATTTCTTGTTTGTTCTGTCAGAAATGGCTGCATAATAAGCAAGCGCATGGGACAAATGGCAAAGGAAATATCAAATGTATGTTGTATGTCGAACTTCTGTCACACTGTACGTAGCCAACCGTGCTAATCGGAAGTGTGGGTGCTAAAGTATAGAATAGGTGACGTTTTTTGTGAATAGGCCTTCTAGTACATAATTAGAGAGGCCAGACAGATGGACTAGATAATGTGAGTTGGAGACTGCCCCATTGGGGGCCCGATGAAAATTACATTATTTTGAATGTTTCTGGATGAACAGGTTTTAAATGTGCATATGCATAGTTACACTCATAGTAGCTTTAAAGCAACAGACAAATATGAGTGCTTGCAGTATCACGAAATAACAGAAAGCAGCACAGTGAGAAGCATAATGTATGCAACTCTAATATATAACGTGAAAACACAGATTCAACCAGGATACATAACAGACATTTACACTCGTGATAACACAAATAAAAGAACACGGGGAAAATATTCACCAAAATAATAACAATTGCTTGACAAAATAATAATGGTAGTGATAGAGAGGGAATACATATATACACCAAGATGACTGAAGGAGTAGAATACCACATGATATGTCGTAGTGAGATAGATAGGAAGCATCATGACATGGGGGGCAGTGTCATTACCAATGACAGACATTAATCGAATCAGGCATGATCAATTATTTTGAGATAATAGTGATAGCACATTTAGCCACAAATATAAATAACCAAAAGCTTATCATGTGATGATAGTAGCAGCATATTTCTTCAGTTCGGATATTTGTGCACGTATGTTACAAGATCACACAGCTGGAAAGTGAAATGCCACTCACAATACGATCTTGGTCAACCGTGGGTTTCCTGCCACATGTGGAATTTTCACAATTGGCTCACGGCGGTAAATGGCAGGTGTTTTTATGGGGAACTACTTTGACTTTCCAATGTGTATATATGTCGTGAGACAAAGTACGTGTGTGCACATGACATCATACAACCACGTCTGAGATCCCTTCATATGCCATTTGTATCCACACTTTAGGGGGCGTACTTTCCCACACCCCCTGCTGCTACAAAGGAACGTTCATTCTACAGCATTTCCCAGACGTGGTTTTTAGCCAAATTAAGTGAACAACCAAATTAGATGCTTTTTTTTTTGCACGGTCAGTGGTGACAAGGCTGAGACTATCAATGCTCTACACTTGAAAACCAGGTTTTGTCATGGGTGGCTGCCTAGATTTGCCCCTGAACTGTCCAGCCACCTCATTATGACTTTACATGATGAAGCTGATGATGATGGGGATATTCATTCAACACGATGTGGTGCATGGCGGTTACCAGCAGCAGCAGCTGGGGCTTCCCAATGAGCGCCAGCGCAGTGGAGAGCTTCCTCTTGGTGCCACCGCTGTAGGTTTTCACCAGCTTATCGGCATGCAGACTCAGGTGCAGCCGCGTGACCAGCTCCTGTGACACCTGTACACCACAAGCCCCATCACTCGTGTGATCTGGCTTCACCGTAATTGCTACCTTAAATGCAGTAAAACTCCCGGCTCATAATAGATGTTTTTTAACTCATTGGTTCTTTCAATAAAGTCACGTAGAAAGAAAATAAATTAAATAATAATAGAATACGACGTTTCGATTGCAACACAAGCAACCATGATCAGGTACGAATGAATGAGAAAAAAATAGTTTACTATATTTGTTTTTCTATTATAATTTAATTTCTTTATACGTGACTTTACCGAAAAAACCAAAGAGTAATTCCTGCAGTCACGAAAGCTTCGATTTTAGATGTTTATTTGTAAAGCCACTGAGTAACGATCTGACCAAAGTTATGTCGTTAAGGCCCTCCCATACCCGAAACAGCCAAATAAATTAAACTGTAATGTGAACAAGATGTTAACCATTATTGTTTCTCACCACTCACCCATACGTTTGAGCTGAAGAACAATTCTCATAATCAAATTAAGTCATTATAATTACTGAAACAATAGAAATAGGCAAGTTAAACGCTTGTACCTGTGATAATTTAATGTGTTTGGTTTGGGAGGGTCAAATTTGGCCACATCATTGTGTGGCCTAACCTCAAAAACAATTACGAATCGTAATATTGGCTGCCAAAACCTACGTGTCGAGTAGAACTTATATTATTCGCAGTGATGTGGAGTGAGGAATATGACAAATTATATTATCCCAAATGTTATCCGAAAGAACCATAGAGTAATTCCTGCAGTCACGAAAGCTTCAAATCAAGTTTAAGATATACGTAGCAGTTTTTCAGCGATCACAGGAACACACGTCTGAACGATGGGTTGTACAGAATAAATAGCCTTGAAAACTGTATGCTGGCTATAACTATCATTTTCAATCATCAGCATTGCTAATGTTAAGTCACAAATTGTGTTATGGACTGCAATCGGGAATTGTTTTCGCACACACTGTGGGAGTTCTACAAAATATAATATTGCAATGCCTAGAGGCTTTAGGGAAACAAGTCTACGTACTGTACTTCCCAGTCAGTAATATCCCACAACTCAAAAAAATACCTCATGCAACCCATGATGAAATTCAGGGATAATAAAAGTAGGAGTGAAACTGTTTTTGGTCATGTATCACGATGAAAACTCATCCACACGACCGTACAGGGCCCTGTGGAGCATGGTAGCCCATTACAGCTACCATTCACAAAAGGCTGACAGCATGGCGATTTTAATGCCATTGTCCATGCAGTGCCAATGTCATACTTAAAGAGCAGATTTCCTTGTTCATTAAAAACTTCAGTGTTCTTGAAATAACTGGTGACTGGCAATTTGAATTTAACAACCAAATTTTACTTTCAATTACAGCCACTTCATGAATTTGTCCCCAAACCAACCTTTGTTTCAACAGTTACTTCGCTATCAACGTGGCTATGATGAAACATATAGAGTATAGTCATGCCTATGAATCTCACTGGAGCTAGATTTATCAGAAAAGCCTAACCCTATGTAAACGTGGTGTTATACGTGTCCTGTGTAACGCTATTATGATACACTTTGTAAGTTTTCGGCGTATGAGCAAATGGGTTGCGAGTTCATCGATGTCTAATGTGGCCTTTCAAGTTTTAGCAACGACTGAGAATGCGGCCATTTATTTCTAAGCGACACTGTGCCCATCGCAATCCCAACGTCCTGTGTTTGATACTTGGCCATGGCCAAGACAACACGAAGTGGCGTCTGCACCTGGTCCAGGTATCTTTCTTGGTTGACTCAATGTTAATTAAGTAGCCAATGCAGTTTGTTAACATCAGAAAGATAGAAGCAAGGCAGACGGCCATGTGTCGCAAGCAACACCAACTTCTTGTGCACCACTGTTGGCCTTCATGGATGCTCGCAAACAGCACTTTCTCCAAAAACCCGTGTAGCGCATGTATACATGTATATATGCACGCGTGTTTTGTAATAGATAATTACTGTAAATAGTTCGATCTAATATTTAATGTCTAGGGAATTGAATGATGTCTCTCGTCACTCTGCATGTGAATCTGTAAAATGTACGTATGTTGTATTTATGTACAGTAGATCATCGATTAACCGTCGGCTTAGAGGGGAAGGGGATGCTGGATTTTCAAAACGCCGAATAATCACGAAATAATTATTTACAATAGCTCATAGTTGCACATTCTTGCATCAAATTATATTTTTAGGTGTTTTAAATTAGTTTACTATATGAAATTGGCATAACTAAACATACCAAATAAACAGTCACTGCATTTACTGTACTGTACTTAACAAACTGTGCTAATCGCAGGTGCGGGAAAAAAGTGAGCACGCTCACCTGCTCGATGTGATGCGAGGGGATTCCGCGGATTCTTGCGTAGCAGTACAGGTGCTCCCAGCCCGTGAGAAGGTCATCCAGAGCGTCGAACTGTGGGCAGTATCCGATCAGCGTGCCCGTCCTCCGCGCCTTTTCCATTTTCAGCAAGGCACTGTGGGTGGACAAATTGGCAGTGAGCGTGGCAATTCGTCCCGACTTTAATCATGCGTCATTCAGCACATCACAGATTCGCACCATTCGTATAGAGCAGTGGTGGCCAACCTGTCACAGACCGAGAGCCAAAAAGTTCTCCATGAGTTCTGCAAAGAGCCAAGTGTATATATAAGTGTATATATATAAAAGTGCATATTAAAGTGTATGTATATCGACAGTTTTCAGCACAGCATGGGAGACATTCATTATTCTTTGCTACTACTGTGATAGTACGTTCTACGTAATGCAGATTGAAGAGCCAAATGCAGCTCGGGAGACGCCGGTTGGCCACCGCTGGTCTCGAGAAAGTCTGTCACGAAGGCATTACGTTTCATGCACACAGTCTGCTTAAACTTGACAGTAAGGGGGCGATGTTGCTGTACGTAACCCCGAATGAGTTTGGGGCAACTCTGGTGACAAAACACTTTGATTAAGAATAGATTTTTTTTCTGTGATTGTATCGAGGGTGATTCTGATTCATGACAGATCAGTAAAAAAACATTTGGAAATGCTTTTCCTTTGGGATTTAAAGCTTCATAAAGTCAACGTTCGTAAGTGAAAAAATATTACTTCAGTTTGTTAAATTCCTATGGAACATATAACACTGAGACTAAAAATGTATTTTACTCATTAGAATTACAAGCAAAGGCTGAATTATAAACTAAGATAAATATAACTAAAAACTTAAGCCAAGCACAGCACTCATGTGCAAACATAAAATGAAGCCTAAATACCACAGTGGGGGTTGCCCATTTGTTCTCCCTGTTCTACAGGATTAAGGTGCAGCCCTGCAAGTGCTTTCTCACGCCACTGCTTGCAGGACGGCCTCCGCTAGAGCGATATCTCTAGAGCGCTGTCTAGAGAGCTCCCTCCTCCAGATGGTATTTGTCCTACTCTTCTTTGCTGGCCAAATCTCATGGCAGAGGTCAGAGTACTCACACTTTTCCCCACCACAAGTGATCTGCTAACTGTAGCGTACCCATTTATTCTGTTGGCAAGATAGAGGTCATGGTGGGGGTGCTGGGGAATGGGAAGTTCATTTTAAAAAAATAATCTCGCATTATTATTTCAACTGCCGTGCCGGGAAATGGAATTGAGCCAACAGACTCTGGATTGCAATTCCAGCGTGCTAACCATTACACGGTCGTCGTGAGGTGCTTACCCATTCTGTGTCCGTATTATGGCATCTCCACCCGACGGTTGGATGTCCCCTGTCAACATCTTGAACGTGGTCGTCTTTCCAGCTCCATTAACTCCAAGCAGCCCAAAGCACTGCAAAAAAGCACAATGTCCTTTCAGCCTCGGATAATGAGGCAAGAAACCCTATTCAGTAATGGGATTCTGCAATGAGTACCTGTAATGTGTTGGCTCTGGTTAAGAAACCCATCACAAACACACAGCACGTGTAACAAAAATATATCAAAGTAGTAAATAAATAATAGCATTTTATTATCTCACCTGTCCTAAGAAGAGACTACTGCCCTGTACAATATAAGCATCAGATAAACAAAATAACAATCATTCTAAATGACAAATTATAATAATTTTAAGTGCTTTGTAAATCGACTGCTGTATGAAGGCTTCCACACACTGTAGTAATAATTGGGATTTTTTCTAATATCCTTCACCATGTGGGTCATTGTGTGTTGGTGAAAGGTTGGGCAGTATTAAAATATATTTTGTTTGTGTTTACCCAGCAGGGCCTCATTGCATCCTTTTCAGAAGGATCCTGCTTTGGGCATGTTTGGCTGGCGACTCCCCGTGTATGGAAGTACACTGGAGTGCCAGTAAAAACACGTTAACATGTGACAGCAGAAAACTGAAAACGCTACACAAACAGGTCAGAAACGTACTTGCTGTACGTCCTCCTGGAGTTAGTTTCCTGAGTATTATCCTGCTCGTGGCTTTTGCCTGTCTCAAGCCTACACAGCGAGGCTGCTGAAATACTCGCCTGTGCCACCACTCCGTATAAACACTGTGCCAGCATCAGACCGGTGATGAAGCCAATTGTAAGAATAAGTGGTGTAGCTATAGAGGGTTCAGGCACTGCAACTGCATCAGGCCCACAGGATGGATGGGGACCAGGCACCAGATTACGAGGAGAGGAGAAATTGGCATATGGGCAGCAGCGGCCAGAATGCATTTCTCTTTAGAGCCCCTCAATTGGCAACCAGCACCACCATCATGCGTGCCCCCTATTGGGCCGGGACTAACAACAACAGCAACCGCCATTCGCCACTAAGTGGCGGCGAGGTCACCACGGCGCCTGTGCCAGGCCAGGTGCACTTTGAGGCAACGTGAAGTGTGGAAGGCTCGCTGCTGGCAGGAGGTTAAAGGCACAGATCCAGGTGCTATGTGCCAACTTGCTGCATTTTAGCCGCCCGGCTGGCATCAACATCACCGCCACCGGAGCCGCACCCCCAACCCCCGCTGCCCCCACCTGGTTGGGAGAGACGCCCAGGTGCAGGCCGTCGACGGCCGTGAAGCTGCGGTTCAGCAGGCGGTAGCGCTTGCGGAGCCCCACGAGCTGCAGTGTGTCGTCGGGGGTGGCCGCGTCCACCACGCGGCTCTGCTCCTCCACGCGGCTCCGCTCCGCCTGCACGTCTGTGTCCAGCTCTGGCTGCCCGGGCTCCACCGCCTTGCGCCGCCACCACCTGCTTTAGAAGCGAAAAACATTTTATTGTTATTTAATTTGACGGGATCAACACGAGGGTTGCCACCTGTCGCAGTTTTCCCAGGATCGTCCTTTATTTGAAGGAGCCATCCTTCACATCTGTAAGTCTTCACAGGATGTTAAAAGTCCCGGTTTTTGTACCTCCGAGGTGGCAACCATCAACAAACATTACATGAACGTCATACACCGCATCCTACGATGGTATTTATATTGTATACAAAACAAATTTGCCTTGGAAAGCTTCACTATTTGGTTAAGGCCCGTAAAATCCTTCATTCCAATGTTTGGCCAATTTCATAAGGAAATTGGACTGCAGAGTGAACAACCACGACCATGATGGAGCAACACTTCACGCTACGCGTGGGTTAAAGAATCCACTGCTGTTCTATCATTCACTAACCGTGTCACATCCCCTCCCTGGGCCGCCCTTCAAAAAGAGGCTTCTTTGGGGGTCATCCGCATAAAAAAACTGAAGTGAAACTTTTAACTTAGCTCAGATTTAAATTCGTGTCAATTACGGTGCATACTCTTTTGTTTTAATTCAGTCAAGTCACGTAGATAAAGTAAAACAAAATAAAAGAAAAGAAAATAATTTACATCACGACGTTTTGGAGGCAACACAAGCTTCCGTCTTCAGGTGGAATAGTCACAGCAAAAGATCTGTGTAGAGTACACAGCTCTGAGACGATCGGGTTTATATGTAGGTTAAGGGGGGGGAGGAGTCAGAAAGGGGTCGTGGGTGGGTGGGAGGGCTGAGTCAAAAGTGGAAGGCTGTGGTGGACTGCCAACAGCTGCGGAGGTTAAGGGGGGGGGAGTCAGAAAGGGGGGTGGGTGGGTGTGAGGGCTGAGTCAAGTTGCCTTTTTGTTAAGCAGCCGGGGGTTCGAGTGGAAGGCTGTGGTGGACTGCCACCACATTCGGAGGAAACATCTAAAGTTTGGTATACCACCACTGACAATTGCTGTACAATTAAAAGGCAGCTAACGTTTGACATTATTTAAAACATCTTTCCAATGGTTGCTCAATTTGAAACCATCCTCTCGGTTGAAGTTGTGTCTGTGTTTGTACATCTGGATGGCCTCGTGGACAAATCTCTGATAATAACCGGTAGGTTTGGAGAGTACCTTGGTATCGGAGAAAACAATATCATGATCACCCACAGCGTTGTAACAGTGATCAGCCACGGCAGAAGAATTCGTTCTGCCGTGTTTCAAATCTGATTTGTGCTCGCGAATTCGGTCAGAGATATGTCGCTTCGTCTCCCCGATATAGCAGTCACCGCAGGTACAACTCAATTTGTAAACACCGGGGTACTGTAAGTCAGGAACAACATCCTTTACGGATGGGATCAGATCACGGATTTTGTGTACTGTGTTGAACCGGACCTGGATCCAGGTTCAGATAATTACATGGTGTACAAATGACCTATGCATATAAAGTAATATGCATGCATACCCACACACGTTTGTGTGTGGGTAGATGGATGGATAGATAAATAGACAAACTCACACATGCAGAAATAAGCAATGACAGCACATAATTGACCATAATTATCCACGTATAATTTTACAAAGAAAAGCATGCGCAGATAGACATTCAGGCTTGAGCAAACATAGACTACGATTCACATCTGTGTTTCAGCCCACTACTGGCAAAAGGCCTCCCCACACCCCATTGTGTATGGGGATTTTTGACCATACTTCACCACGTTGGTCAGTGTAGGATGGTGAAAGGGGGGGGGGCAAGGCCAAGGACCAGTTGAGATGATCACTGTTACATTGCATTTGTGGCTTTATTTTGGTGATTTCTAAAAGTTTTTTGGTTTGGCCATGTTTTTGTTTATTGTAGTATGGAGTTAGACTGATGGCCTTAATCTAAGTTTTCTTGTTGTTGTTGTTTGACTTGCATCCCACTGGGATTTTTGCACACAGCGTTGGTGTACGGTGCTATTTCAGGAATATTTTTATGTTTTTTCCTGGATTTTCTGTTTGCACATGCACAAAGTCACTTTAAGATGTTTTCTTGTTCGTGTTTTTGTTTTTTTGTTTTCTGCGGTTGCACCCGATTCAAGAGCCGAATGGCTCACAGGGCTATACCAAAATAAATAAACTGAAACTATGAAACTATGAGATATCGCTCGCCATTGATGTTAGCCATGGCTGGAGGTCAAACTCAGGTCACCGGCTTCATAACGCGGTGCGCTAACAACTGCGCCACCCCTCACGTGTTTTGCACACTCCGCTTCCCGGGAGCTGCGCGTTGTGCCACCAATCCACACACTGCAGAGGGAACTCTAAACACCGCGCTGTTCAAAACGTTATCCAACTGTTGGCCACAATCTGGTCTCATTTTGAGCTGAGACCATGGCGCGCCGCCCAATATTGCTCATGACGCGAATGAGATCGAGGGTGACGACAGATGAGTGGCCACTGCTCATCTGGGGCATTTTGCTGCTGCTTCGTGCACCCCACATTCGTCACGGGGTCACTGAAACTCAGTTCCGCCGCATAACTCCCAAATGCATTTGTGCCGTGGTTGTGGTATTAACGTGAGGGGTGGACGAAGAACGGCCGTGATTTGAGTGATAAGGGAGAAGAACACCGGTAAGCATCGAAGTTTGCCGACTGCAGAGAGCATAACATTCATAGCTTGAGTCCCACTGTTACCTTACGGTCTTAGCTTTGACTTTATACAAGAGGTGTATGCAAAGCTCAGGTTAATCCTTAATTAATCATAAATACTTGTGGTAAATGAGCCCAAAGCAATATAATTACTTAATTGTGTTCACCTACACACATTACATATAGTAACAATCCCCTCATTAATGTTGTTATTTGGTGTGCCACCCAGGTTATATGCATGTGGAATACAATACAATTGGTAGATTATAGTGAGTGGATGCACAAGTGTGACGAGGAACACAAACCTGAGTTTCCAGATGAGTTCATCTGTGAGCACCAATCGGAGAGTAAAGCAAACAATGCCATTAACTGCCAGGGCCACGAATGGCCAGCCAGTAATATCCATGGCAAACGATGAACTTTCCTGCGGGTCTGACCCCAGCAATTTCATGATGTCTTCCATGAGCCTCTGCTTTGAGAGGGAAACTAGCCCCCAGCCCAGGCAGAACTGGGGGAAGACGAGGAAAAGCCATCGCATGATATTGTAGGCGTTGTAGAGGCTCTGTTGGGTGGGATAAGGGAGCAACACACACACATAAACTTAGTATTGTATCGAGAAAATACAAGGATCCCCCCGTATAGCCTTAACAGGTTGTTGAAAGCCCACTCAGCTATATAGCTCTTCTTCAGAAGCGATCTGACCACAAGTGAGAGCTCAAAGAAGTGGCTTAAACTGTGAATATTTATAGCAGCCAAATACTCTAAACTCATTTTTCTAAATGTGGAGGGAAAAACCTGAGGACCCAGAAAACAAAAATCTACACGACCATGGTAATAACGTGTAAACTCCAAATATACAGGCATCAGGGTCAGGATCGAACCAACGACCTCCTGTGTTCTAGACAAGGGAGTTAACATCTCACCACCGTGGCGCCTCATGAAGGCCGGCACTGCACACGAGAGGGTGGGTGGCGATATTTACACAACACACCAGGTACTCATTTGAGGTTGAGTCGATCTCGGGGAGGCGACGGACCGGTTCAAATAATCGTCACTGGCGTTGGCCGTGAGCGAGACTCGAACTCGGGTCGCCAGGTTTGTAGTGCAGCCCGTGACCGCTACACTACCGCTCCCCACATTATATAGAGCACAATCGCATACACAAACAACAGTATGGTACTGTATGTACATGCGGATTGTTAGCTCTTGCCAGATATATAAAGCATGTATATTTGAAGAAAAAACAACTCGGACATTAAGCTAAGAGTTAGTATTCTTTGGGTCTTTCGGTAAAGTCATGTAGATAGGTTCAAAGAAAATAACAAAATAAAAAATGTTTTGATTTAAAGCTTTCGTGACTGCAGGGATTCATATTCTTTGTTCTTTTGGTAAAGTCACGTAGAAGGGAAACAATAAAATAAAATTTAATTAAAAAAAGTTTTATATTTTTATTATTTGATTGTTTCCCTTCTACATGACTTTACCGAAAGAACCAAGAATATAAAAAAATGTTTTACCTATCCACGTGACTTTACCGAAAGACCCAAAGAATATGAATTCCTGCAGTCACGAATGCTTTAAGTCAAGATCTAAGAGTTAGTGTTAGGTCGTATCGGCAACCATGTTCGTGTCCGTTTAATAATGAGTGTGGTGTTTTTTGACATACTGCGGTTATGCCAGGGTGAAATATAGCATTAAGCTGATGGAGGTATAAATAGTAGGAAATTAAAATGTAAACTTAAATACGCTATTAAAGTTAAGTCGCTCCAACGTTTGTTTCTATTCATGGCCCTGAGCTAGTTTTGGAGATTACACATTCCTACGGCAAATTATTATTCTATATTTTGTGTAAAAATATTCTATTCCATAACATAGATAATGAGCCTGTCACAATCCCCATTGAGTCACTGAAGTAAAGAAATGAGGTTTGTGTCTTCTAAGCTACACTTCATGACTGCATGACACACAAGATTTTGGCAAAGGGGGTTTAGTGAAATATTTGTTGTGCTTATGGTAATATTCAAATTAAACGTTTGTAATCATTTATTTAAAAAAATGCTCCATTCCAATAGAACACAGAACTCTATATTTATCCAGCAAACACAACCATTGTTGCACTTGCTGTGCAGAATAGGTCATTGGTTTTTAACTTGACATAACATTTGTGATTTAACTTAGCCTTTACAACACACATTTATAGCTTATCAAATAACGTAATGATGGTATCAATATGTTTTGCCTAAGAGTACATTGCATAGCCTGCTCACTACAGTACAATCCTCTCAGAGCTCATCACACATTAATATTTTTGAAGGTTATCCCGATATTCCCTGTGAAAATAATTACAATGACAGTTGATAACATTGTAAATACCATAAATGTGATAGTGCTGAAATTGGTCATAACAATAACTGTGGAAGATAATGATGGAAATTATGGATGGCTAGTAATAATACATCAAATGCCTTCTTTTATTAATGAGAACCCAAGTTCAAGCTTCGAGTTTATTTTGTTTAACCAGGTAAGAACCCAAAAAAATAGACCAGTCTCATATTCAACAGTGACGTGGGATGTCAGCAAAATTATGCAAGCAACACAAATAAAATGAAGTTCAGCAACGATACACAATGTACACTTGCAAGACATTCCTGAGATTAAAAAAATGGTAAAGCTATGTTTTCACATTGCTAGACTAAAATAGAAAACATGTCGAGAAGTAATCAAGATAAACATGACGACAAAATTAATTGTTGTTATGCCGATAATAGTCAAACGAATCCAAAAGTCGCTGTGGCAGAGTGCTTGATTCGTGTTATGGGGGTAGATTCAGCCCTTTATCCTCCGAAGTGAACGAAAACAATTACTAACACATTCATCCGTGGTTCTAAAGTTAAACTGGCTCCCACTATAGAAACGTGGAATTTCCACCTGTGGCTCAGCACCACCAGTGGAGATACACATTTCCTAATTGTCTATTCGAGCTTGAAGCCACTTGGGACTGTGCATTAACACTGCGTCTACTTTGGCACTAATGACCTGAGGCAATGTTGCAAGATGCTGCGGGCACTCGAACACAAAATCGCGGAATGAAACAAACGGCAGGAAAAAAAAACTCACCTGTGAGTCAGAACTCAAGTAGAGGAAGTTCACGAGGAAGGTGGAGATGATCGTGCTGACGCCCAAAATGATGTTGATGGAGATGTAGGTGACGAAGGCCATCTCCTCCTCAGAGAAGACGCCGGATATTAGGTACATCCACGGGAGGGATGCGAAGCTGCTCACGCCGACACAACGGACCAGACGCCGGAGGGTTCACACTTTGCACATCACGCGGCTTGTACAAACAGCTACGAATCCACCACCACCACCAAGGTATAAACTGTGTATGAATTCAACTTTGTGGAAGGAGATTAGGCGTGAATCTGATGAGGTTCCAAGGCAGTTTTGAATCATACAGGAAAGGGACAGCATTCGCAGTGATGAACAAGCATAATGAAAACAAAAAATAACTGAAGACTCAAGAAGGACCATTGTCTATACACTGCTGGTCGATTGCATGCCTGTGTTTCTATGGCATAAGGCAGTGTTCATGGTGAATGGTGGTGAGCTCTAACTTGGATCAGCTACCGGTAGCCACCAGCTGAAACCCTGTCCCAAGGAACTGAGGAGGAGCCACAGCCATAGCTGGCCGTTTGGACACGAAGCTCCGACTTCAGTGGGGCCAGGACAACGTGGCGCTGCCACGTCACCGTCTTGACATCGATAGCGAGGGACGCAAGCTATGAGCATTGCACAGAACTTCCATATGTTCAGAACTAAATTTCATTTAATTGGCAGACTAAAAAATAAAGGCCGGAATGAATCCATCTCATGTGAACAGATGGGGGTGATATTTGTAAGAAAAATGTCTTTCAAGATTCATGGTATGAGAGCATTGCTGTTTTATGCAGTCAGTTTGGGAGGCATTGCATGGAATTTGCAAGGCACGGGAGAATGAAGAAGTGTTCACTTTCCAGTCAGCATTCTTGAAACATTTCAACTTTTATGCCCTTACCCGAAGAGAATGAGTAGGAGAGAGACGGCTCCCAGGTTGCTGTTGTCTGTGTAGGCAGGAAGATGGAAGGCCGCTATCACTGCGATGCACAGGCCCGTGGTCACTGTGTAGCTCACCTGTCAGCAGAAAGACAAACCAGGGGTAAATCTCACATCTCGATCTGTTATGAATTATGTAAGTGTTGATCTTAATTTAATTACGCAAGTGTTGATCGTAATTTAGATAGTTTGGCTGCCATAAATGTCTAGGTGATGAGCCACTTCGTTGAGCTATCATTTGTGGCCAGGTATCAGCAATGCCAGCTCCGCGCTACGGCCTCCGCAGGCACCAGGCCACCTCCACAGAGACGTGCATATTGCGAGCAATGCGACACACGCCCAGTCTGGAATCGCAGGCCCCAAGTGACGAGTACTCGAGACCCGTTTAGGCGAGTTGAGGAGGCGACTTGGTTTACGCACGCACCATGTCGTAAGTGAAGTTGACGGCCCAGTAGAAGGTCGGGGATACACCAGAAATCTGCTGCAGGCGCTTGGAGCCCGTGATCCGCTCGCGCACGACGGCCGTGGCGAAGCTGCCCGTGAGGATGGAGAAGCCCAGCAGGATACAGATGGCCACACCCGTGTCGCCCAGGTTCTGCAGACTGAAGGGACGCGATCGCGCGTCGGCAACCATTAGAATGTGGCTCGTGACCTTCCATTGCCCAAAGTCAAACGACCTCAGTCACCGATTCATGAACGTTCACTTTCATCCTATTTTTGGTGTTCAGTTTGACCAGACCCTGTCCTTCGAGGCATGTGTATCTAGGGGTGGTTAGAACTTAATTATTCCACCTTAGAAATATTGCCCAGCTGCGTTGATTCCTGCAACCAAATCACTTAAGAGAGACTGATCCATGCTTTTGTGTTCGCTCGACTTGACAATGCAACGCATTACTGTTCGGGATTCCTTAAACTCATTCAATCTGGTAGTGTTTGTGTAAATTGTGGAAACTCCACAGTTTTATGGCAGGGACCATTATAACCGAAGGAACCACTACTCTGGATTTCGCACGAATCCTATCGCTTTTTTTAAAGTATTATTTTCACAACGAAGGAAACACTACTCTGGATTTCGCACAAATGTTATCGCTTGTTTTTTAAAGTATTATTTTCACAACTTTGCAATTTTATAAATATGCCTGTCAAGACAAAAACAGGTGGCCTTGGCATTTGTCACACAATCATCTCATAAAGGATTTGCCATTTTCATTTTTAAAACGTAGGTGCCTGCTTAAAATTAGACTTGGCCCAAACAGGCGTTATGGAAAGTCGAATGTGTGGTGTGTGTCTCTCGCACGTGACACTTTTTTTTCAATGGGCAACTTACATCATATCCTGACTGAGTTGTTGGCCCGCATATGGTTTGCTGTTCACAGATATCCCTTCAACAAGAAACATGCAATGTTAGCTTTCCAACCACTCTCAGTTGACAATTGTATTCATAAAAATCACGCCATTTTTATATTAATAGCTTGTGGCACAATTTGTGAATGTCGACTTGAAGAATGGCTGTTGAAGCCAAAGCGCGTTTATTATTATTTTTTACAATTATTAAATAAAGTGTAGTTCCTGCTGCTTCATGTAAGTGACAATGTGTTTATTGTTTTAGATTCAAATCCAATCAAACATTTTAACAGTGCCAACACATACAATTACTACAGTGTTTCTTTGTGAATTAAGGCTGGGGCAGAGGTCCTCAATAAGAGTTGGTATGATGCCTCTAGGTCAAACTACTAAAATGCAAAGGAGTTGATTGTGGCAACATCAGTGACTGATTGATGATGATGATGATGAATGAAGATGTGATAAGCATAATGTTGAATTGCAGGCTAAATGCACAGATAATTTGACCAATGATTATCCCCTACCTCAGACAGCAGTCAGTAGCCTCCTCATCACTCACTCTTCTATCGCTAATACAATGGTTACCATTCTTATGAACTTCACCCCTTAATTCCTTCACTTATGTTGAGACTGACCGTCTCATGTAATTCATCCTGTGTTCAGAGTGCAGCAAAACAACCCACCCATCAACCCACCCACTGACCCACTAACCCACCCACTGACCCATTAACCCACCCACTAACCCACCCACCGACCCACTAACCCACCCACCGACCTACTAACCCCCCCACTGACCCACCCACTAACCCACCCACTAGCCTACGAACCCACCCACTGACCCACTGACCCACCCACTGACCCACTAACACATCCACCAACCCACTTACCCACCCACTAACACACCCACCAACCCACTAACCCACCCACTTACCCACTAACCCACCCACGGGCCCACCCAAACCATCACGCTGCCAGTCAAAACAGTTGTCTTTATGCTTTGTTTGACTTTGAAATCCCCTTCGATCGTCGATAATTTCTACAACCGTGCTCAAGGCAAGAAACATATTGAATCTTATCCATTAAACCTTTACGATGCCGCTGTTCGTTGCTGGTCGCCAGGCATTTTTTAACCTTACAAAGAAAAAGAGTGTTAGTGGGAAGTGAACCGCACTGTAATCGCCGGGGTGCTCTCCGTCGGGAAGGTTGTCCCACAGAAGGAGGTTGTTGAAGCTGTTAACGTAGGCCGGGAGGGCATGGTAGCCCTCGGGGTTGTACCACACCTGTACGACAGTGCAGAAACATTGGACTCTTGAAACTATGTGCAACTGCAAAAGAGTACGCAGCAATGCTCTTCATTGATAAGCAAGCAGAACTTAAAGATAAAGGTGCAGATTTGCAATGTATTTCTCACACTGCCCCTTTAGAGGGTATTAGGTCTCTGCTTTCACGCTGGCCAGATGTCTCGCAAGAGATGGGAGTACCCACACTTCACGCCACCACGTGTGAGCTGCTGATCGACTGAGTAACAAATTATAGCACGGGATGGACTGTGGCGGAGAGATTTAAAAAACGTGCCCATTGTTTCAATTGCTGTGCCAGAAGATCCCGAGTGCTTATCATGATACCAAGGCAGCATCCTTATACACATGTATATTTTTTTTTACATTTAGATTTCCTACAAACGATATTTTGTAAAATATAAATGCTGTTTCAATAACACTGACAAAATCGTTTGCTTGTAATTAACCTTCATATGGTTTCGCCATACTTGAAGGAATAATCTATGATTTTATTCAATTTGAATTGGCAGCTGTGAGTCACTGCACTCACCTTGGTGAGCGTCCTGTTATCTGGCACAACTTCAAGATCAGATGTTGTACTGTGAGGCAATCCAAAGCTCCAGCCACCATATCTGTAAAAAGGCAATAATTATTTTTTGCTTAATTAAATGGTGATATGCTATCACAAATAATGTGGATGACTGGCCCAGAAATGTATCTTATTTGGTTGGTTGAATGATTAATTTTTCAACAAAGCATTTTTACCAGTGAGGAACATCAATTTGACAGGGGGTAATAAATAGCACAATGTTCGTGAGCTATCGCAAAATGTAAATGCTTGAAAATAATGAATTATAATGAATTGCGAGATAGAAAATAACGCTTCAGTTAAAAAAAAATTCCCAGTGAAATCGGACAGGTCATCTGCACCAGAGAACCGTCCCGGAGGTTGATGCCAAGACAGAAATACTTCTGATTATTTTTTATTTAGCTGCTGGACAGCAATCTATATTAAGACTACGGTCAATGTGCGGGTCTTTGAGTCAAGGGTGTGGAGGTTGGAGAGGCTGCAGGATTGTAAATCGAGCTGAACCCGAGTCAAGTGCTCGTGTTAACACGATGGGTGCACGCAATTTGAAGGGGCACACTTGACTCATTTCTCACCGTTTTTTCTGGATTTTAGCAAAAAATAAAGCCTCTTGTCTTGCAATACACTACACGTGTTTAATATTTAGTTTAATAAATAAAAAAAAACACTCCCGTATTAATAATGGCAGCTTAATTTCCTTGTAAGCACAAATTGAGGTAGCTTGCGACAGGTGATTGTTATTTTGCTGGAATGTACAACTTCAGTGGACACAGACAAGCACACAGATCAAGCCGTGCATGACTAAGCTTCAAATGTACACTTCATTGGTATGACGTAACAGATTGGTAAGCAATGCTTTTAGACCAAATTGTATGTTTTAGATGTCCTTAAGAAATTGCATCAGCACATCACATACATTTTTACACAAAACGACACGTTTTTTTACCATAATAAAAAAATAACTGTTCTCCAAATCTAACAAAACATTAACCATGATCCTTTTTACAGACTGTTTTAAATAAGGGCCATTGTTCAAAATGTTATGTTATTGCACGTTTGTTTTAGCTATGACATAAATTATGACGGCGGTAAAGTATTTAAATTTAAGATGTGTTTGCAACAATATTAAAATGGTGCATCGTTGCTCACAGGCGCACCTAAAACAAATTTAAGGTACACGGGAAACAAAGATCTCCATCTGCGTTTCCCTCTGCATGTGCACAAGAATATACAGCGAATATATGTGCCTGCACATCCCTGTGTGTCGATGAAAGTGCACACTTCAGTGCCTGAGTATGGACGCTTGCATGAGCATGGGTGCACAGTTATGATTCCCGTTGTGATCACTGGGTGGTATGTGAGTAAATGCGCGCATGGTGATGTTTTGCACTGTATTGGAGTGTGTCTATGTGGCCGCATTGTACTGGCTAAAGTGCTCAACGAAGAGACGGAAAATTGCGCCGAGTTCACATTGTGATCAGAGGTCGGCTCATCTTGCCAGGGTAGCTAAAACAAGATCCACTTTGTAGGATGTCAAAAGTGTTCGTCAAATGGATACACTCTGCCCTGCCAGTGTAATGTGAAATTTCCACCATTGGCTCAGGGCTGCCAACATACGTGAGCGCCACCACTATTGCTCGCCGGCTCATTTGAGCAGCAGCAGCAGCAGCACGAGACTTGTACTCGACTTGCACACACATAAGCACACGGCACGTGCCCACGAACCTATACACACTTTACTTGTGGCACTCCACCTACGCAGTGGCGTTGGGACCACAGCTATTATGGCTGCAGTTTTTTGTCGTACGTGTTATGTATATCGTTTATTGTTAAATTTAAAATCACAGTTCCTATGATTGCTGTTGTTACAATGTTTTTATAGCTTTATTTTGGTGATTCGAAAACATATGGTTAATCTAAATTGTCTTATGGTTGTTGTTGTTGGCTTGCACCACATTGATTTTTGCACACAGCGTTTTAATAAGTTTTTTTTGTGTGTGGAATATTTGCTGGTTTATTCCAGGATGTATCGGTTACGCGTTGTCGCTTTTAGGATGTTCTGTGTTCAAATTTTGTTTGTTGCGGTTGCACCCGACTTAAGAGCCGCATGGCTCACAGGGCTATACCTAATAAATGAAACTTGAAACCAAGACTATAACTCACTCTCTGCCTCGATTTACACCCAACGATATCCTAGATCGTCCTTGAGGGAGAGCTGTGTGGCTCAATGTTCTTTACTCGGAAAATAAGCTCCTAAATAATGACAAGAGGAACGTATAATCTGTTACACAATGGCAATAAACATTCACCTCTTGAGCAAGTATTGGCAAGTGGTACCCATCAGGTATTCCTCCACATCTTCGCCACTTAGGTTGAATATCTGCAATTGTGGGTTGACGTTCATGTAGGATGGCATATCCTGCACAGCTGAGCACAACTGTTGGGTACAAACATGGACAATGTTAGATAGAAAAAAATGGCATCCTTCACGCCACTCCATTTCTTAAAGGAACTCGTTGTTCAGCTTGAAATAATTAAGCATGATTAATTTACAGTATCTTTATCAAAACCTCCTGAGAAAGCTGCTTCATTTTTTCCATCGTACTTTATACATTGCCATATATACACATTCATGCCACTTTATAAGCATTTTTCTTTCACATACATATTATTTTTCTGAATTGAATATTCCTCTCTTCAATCTCTCAATACCCTTTACCCATGCCATTGTCTCTGTGGGTTCAGCCCACTTAAAAACACAGTTGATTCATCGATTGCTCACGTTCATCTTATTAATATATCTCACCTCTAACCTTATGCAAGACTCACCTCCACTGAGAATCTCACGATGCCCGCAATACACCTCACCTCACCTAGCATACCACATCTCTTCAGATAGTGAGGCTTCATGTAAAACATTTTGGGGCAGTGACATGGCCCACCAGTAGGTGCATTCCCCGCTGGTGCCAGAGGTTCACAGCTCGAAATGGGCAGGCCTCCCTGATTATTACTGCGGGTGCGTTCACCATAAAGGTACTCGCTGTTCGCTTCACGGGGACTATTAAAGATCCCGGGACTTATAAAATGAGTCGGTCATTGTGTGTCGTCGTCATGGTTCAACCTTGATTAGTTTTTTTTAAAGGTCCCGCAAAATACTCAATTGAGATTACACACAACAATTATCTCCAGCTACCGGTGTATTAATGCCTGCTCACAGGCCAGGCACCGACTCACCTTGTGCCGTGCAGGGACAGCTGCCACTGGGGGGTGCCCTTTCAAATGTCTGAGATGTGATGTAAGTTTCTTATTGGGTGTAAAGTACTCTGAGATGCCCCGGCATAAACGGTTATTATGTTTATCTGGGTGCTTTCTTTAAACGCTACACTACACACAGTGGTCAGAATACATCATACACTCGTGTCAGAGAACATCAAAGCACGTACCTCTTTGCAGGACGTGCAGCTGCAGGAGGATTCGTCACCTCTGACAGAAGGAAACCAAGGTGTGGGAGGGCTATTTGCCCAGCAGGAGTTGTTCCTAAAAATATAAATTTGCATACATCACATACTCCATGACAGTCATAGCTATAAAACCCCATCTAGATGCAGGAACATCTGCTGATGCTGTAAAGAAACACCGGGGATATTGACTCTACAGAGAAGAGGCAGTTGGCCATAGGCAGATGCAAAAGAAAGGTCTTGAACCTGGACTTGAACTGGGGGTTAGTGGGGAGTTCCAGACCCTGGGGGCAGCAGAGGAGAATGAGCGACCTCCCACTGACAAAGCCTTGGCTGCCCAAGCATAGAGTGAGATGAGAGGCGGGGGGGGGGGGGGAGATCTCATGATGCAACTTGAAGATGAATGTATGTTGAGCTTCTTTCGCACCCTACGTAGATGGTGTCATCTTGAAATTGATCTGGAGAATTATCATTGGAGCCAATGGAGGATTTAAAGTATTGGGGAGATGTGATCTCCCCAATACTTTACAGAGGCTGTAGATGAGACAGATGTGATTGTTGCGCTGGAGTGTGATGAATGCATGAAGGTGGATGCAGGAGATGTGGCAGATATGGAGATACGACTTCCTGAAGATTTGAGATATATTTCACATATTCGTGTATGAAGTGGTTCGTACACAATCAATTAAACTGTTAAGCTATCCGGATGGGTACAAAATGTTGGCACTTGAATTCCTCATAATTTCCTCTGGATCCCAAGAACCTCACACAAGTGCGACCAAGAAGTCAAACTACCGAGCAAGAGAACCAGAAGAACGACATTTCGGCCCGGACTGCTATCTCACCTGGACGGAGGCTGGTCCAGGCACGCGGCACGCTTCATGAGCGTCGAGGCGAGAGAGCTGGCCGATGCACTTGAGCTGTTGTGCAAGCTGTGATGCACGAACAAAAAAAAACATTCATGAGACACATACACATCGCGCAGAGTTTAATTCAATATTTACAAGGTATTTTCCTGCGGGGAGAGGGAATCGGAAGAGAATGGGCAATGGAGAAGAGGTATAATAATAATTATTAGATTCTGATACTGTTACTGCTGTCGCTGCTGATAATGATTATAATGAGAATAATACGGTATCGCCACTGCTGATGATGCCGATTCTGCCGCTGCTGACGACAACGATGACGACGATGTCGTCGTCGTTTGACGCAAGCGACAGTCGCGCACCTGAAGAAGGAAGCACTGCTGTAGAGGCTCGGCTGGAGATGAAGGCTCGGGTATTCCGGGACACCGGGTTCCATGCTGGCAAATGCCATGGCGAGCGCCACGAGGATCACGGGCAGCACGATTTGAGCAGCTGCCCCTTTGACGTCGCGCCTCCAGTGGTGAAACCGCTTGTAGATCAGGGCCTGGGTCTTGCGCACCAAGAGGTGGATGCCAGTCACCCGCTCCTTCTTCACCAGGTGCTTTTCTGTGCGCCAAAGAGAGGAGAGGCAGAGGATCGAAAGAAGCGCTTTCCGGTGCGCTTCCGCGGCCGTCCGGAACATTCTCTTACCTTCCAATATTTAGGAAGCCACTGGAGCTGTGCACTTTAAAATCTCGATTGAAAATACTATTTTCCTTAGAAGTTATTTTTAGTGTTCAGTTCGTTGTTTCTTCCCCCGCACCTCCGATTAGCACGGTTGGCTACGTACGGTGCGAAAGAAGTTCAACATACACACGTACGTCCTTACCGTAACTGTCTTGACTGCTTCCTTCGCTCTCCAGGCTGACAGTGTCACTGGTGTCAGAGGCGGCCGGGCTCGTGTGATCAGGCGGCGCAGCTGTCTCGGAGTTTATGGAGCCGGATTCGGCCTCGGGCGATTTGTTGGTGATGTCCTTCAGCCTTTGGTCTTCAGCCTCCTGCACCAGCTTGAGAAAGACCTGCAAGAACCCACAAGAAGCAAGCAGCAGCAGTTATAGATACGATTGAAATGTGTAGCTTAAGAGTGAATAACAATAATAATGACAAATAGAGTACGTTTGGTATTCACGTCATGCTTATAAGCGCAGGGCTGTCACAAATGCATCGTATTTCATAGTCTGCGGTAGTTTCACACTCGGGTCGATGTTGTGATGTGTAAACCTAATTGAGTAATTTGTGGGTCATTTTTGGAATTTGCCAAATTTTATCCATTAGGCCAGCACAAAATGGCCTGCGCATTTCAAATGACGTCAGGGGAGCCTTAACGTTGACTGTGCAGTCAAATGGCGTGTTTATTTCTTATGGTAAATACACCCACAGCGATAACCAGCATGGCATGCTGTTTGCGAGCAACTGTACAGACCAGGACCACACTGGGTTGCCTTTGTCAGCAGAGAGGCTGCCGAGGTCGGAGTGAAGTATCGAGCTGAGGCTGAGCATCCCAGGGCAGGTTCAGACATCACTCGCTGCTGACGCAGGCACGTGCACGCACTCACACACCTCCTCAAGCGTGGTGTCAGAGATGGCATAGCCAGAGAGTCCCAACTCCTCCATGTTCTCCTCCAGTGTGACGAGGAAGCTCTGGCCGAGCACGTTCTGCGAGTGCGCGGGAAGCAGGAACACCATGTCCGCATTGCGGTTGCCCGAGCTGTCCTCGCCGCTCTTGAGCGCGGCTCCCGCCACCCCCGAGCGCACCAGCGACACCACGCGCTCCGGGTCGAAGGGGGGCCTCGAGCCGAGCGTGACGCTCTGCGAAAGGCAGACGGCAGGAGGTGTGAGACGCGAGCCGGAAGACGCATGACGGTGGGGTCAACCCAGCCATCATCGTGATCACCACCACCACCACCACCACTACTGTCGCTTGATCCGTACAAAGTAGGGTCGAGTCACCCGATTTATTAGTGCTACACCCTCAGCCTCTATCTATGGTGAGTTTAACACGTAGGCTTTCGCGACCAATATTATCCTCCAAAGATGCAGAGATTCAAAGGTAATACCAAACACTTTTAAACTAATCCATTGTAATTCATACAACGACATTATGAACCCCCCGCTGGTCTTTGCACCTGATCGACACACAGTGATGGCATCACCTTCACTTCATTTAGGACAGAAACAGGAAGACTTCTTCACAATTCTGGCTATCGCCTGACGAAGCTGGTTGTAATCGCCAGCGAAACGTCGTGCTCAAATTGTAAAAGTTGTATGTTTAACACACTGGTGTGCTGAAGTAGTAACTAACTGGCACGTTTTATTTACGTGACAAACCTTACTAATTGGCTGTGTTGGGTGGCGGTGGGTTAATGATGGATTTATATGTACGCTCTATCTATGGTGGCTTTAATCTGTGATCTAGGGATTTTTTTCAAACTTCTCCTGTCAACTGTGGTTTCTCCTCATTTGTCTCTTGCACGCTATAACAGACTTTCATGTCCCTCAAATTCTCATTTAGACCAGTTTTAGCTTGCGAATATATATATACGGTACGAATAATATTATTTGAATATTGTAGAATCCAAGTAAAATTTATATTGTGGTCCACGTAACATTTTTTGCCAATTTTTTTACTCTAATTCTAGAAAATGTTAAGGGAAACATATCGTGAAGACCATCATTTCGGAAAACTTAAATGAGCATTATATCTTATTGTGAAAAATAATGTTGGGGCAAACCTCGTACCAAGCCACAAGTTATTATTATTGTTATTATCGCTACGCTTGTTTACCAAGGAACGCCTCGTTGAGTCTCAATACTCTTTTTCGGGAGGGTCCTGCCAAATTATGTCACAGTAGTGAGACAATTCTGCTGCTGCGTGTGATCCCTATTGAGTCATCTGCAGGTACTCTTTCAGCATTGGGATTGAACCCGAACCTTCTTGGTGAGGGTCAGCGTCAGGCCCTGCCCATAAATCTCCTTCAGGTACTGGGGACTCCCGCAGCACCGCAGCTTCCCGTGCTCCAGAACGGCGATGCGGTCGCTCAGCACCTCCGCCTCGTCCAGGTGGTGCGTGGACAGGATGATGGTGCGGCCTGAACGTTCACACACACGCGCACGCATACACCGACACGAGGATCGCACGGTTAGCCTCGTGGACCGTGACGGTGATGCTGTCGGCGAGCACCTATTAACCCGTTCCCAATCCGATGACGTACGCGTACGTCATCAGTTTTTCATCCGACGTACGATTAACACGGTTGGCTATTCAACAAATACACATGAAAATTAATTATCATAGAGAGTGGGCTACAGAGAAAAGTGAAATCATCCACACTGAGCCTCCACATTTGTGATTGTTAATGTGGTCGAGATGCTTGAATCGAGTATATTTACAATTTCATGCCGTCATGAAATTATAAGTAACCTCAAGCCCTGCCAAAACCTTCCACAGTTGGCGACATATGTCGCGAAAGAAGTTCAACATACGTACATACATACGGCTCAGAAGCCGTTAAGTTGTTATATCGGCGCGTGACTCCCACGCTCTGCGTTGGGCTTGCCAGCAGCAACCCACTCCCCTCCCCATGCTCATCTCAAATCCGCACTCGTATCTGAGCGGCGAACCCTGCATTCTCCCCTGGCTCATGCCCGCTCTTCTCACGGTTTAGCGGCGCTAAGGTGCACGTGAGCGCGCGCGAGCACGTGAGCGGCGCGACGTCCCTCACCAGCCCTGTGCTTGAGGATGAGGTTCCAGATGCTGCGTCGAGAGCAGGGGTCCACGCCGCTCGTGGGCTCGTCCAGAATGACCGTGGTCGAGCCCCCGATGAAGGCGATGGCGATAGAAAGCTTGCGCTTCATGCCTCCCGACAGTGTTCCCACGAGCTTGTCTTTGTGGTTGTAGAGACCGAGGTCATTCAAGAAGCTGTGCACAAGAACAAATATTATTTCACCCGCATGAGAATTAACTGCGCACCGTGTCGTGTGGGTTTTAATGTTGATCAAGTCTTGCTTTTTCTGTCGTGCCAATTTAAGGGTGCCCTGAGAATTTCTGCACGGAATACAAGTCATTGATATGCTCGACTGTTCCACCTTAAAGAGAGTGTTGAGATTAAGTGATGATAATAATTACAAATAATTCACAGCCATTTGTCAATGCACTGCTGGCTGAAGATACTCCAATGCTGTGTAAGTTTGCACGGGTTGTTTGGCAAGAATTTGACATGCTGGTCAATGTGGTCTACTGGCCGTGGCCAGAAATCGAACCCAGACTGCCAGTCCCACACGCACTACTTGCCAGTCATGGCAACACTGGTTCCCATACATGGTATGAAGCAATAATTAAGTCAGTCGACCAATTGGTCTTTTCAAGTGATGTTTTCCAGCACAATGTGTTTAAGCAGGGTTTGTATTGCTTAAACAATCCCAGGACGTCCAATGATAGATGGAAATTAATGTTTTTTTTATTCTGTTGGCGACGGTTCATTGTTAATTTATTGCCCATAGTCCACCAGCTTTGTTGTATGGTTCCACTGCCTGGATGAATGCTGTTGAGAAAAAGTGATATCAGTTTGCATTTTTAAATGTTCTCAACTTAACAAGAACCGCATGGGTCTTGGTAACAATAATAATAAGGATTGGTATTGTTTTAAATTTCTGAAGTTGTTATGAATTGAACAGTGTTGTAGTATGGCAAGAATTAATATATGAGGGATGTGTACATTCTATAAATGCCAAAGAAAGATGTACAGATCAATAATATTATTTTGGTTTGTGTTGAACAACAAGGTCATATGGTATCCATCCGATGAGAATTTGCATTAGCTGCAAGAGTTATCTAAACACATGAATACGGAGGAACGCATCATAGACAGTTGCACAGCACTGTGGATAACAGATAAATAAACTGACAAAAGTTAATCTCTGCACATAAAAAAAATAGTTTTGGATGTAAGTATTAAGCCACGCGCACTTGTCAAGTGAAGAGCACGGCTCTTCTGCAAGACTGCCGTATAAAATAGATTTGGGACCAAATTCATGTTTTGGCAAAAATATACTTTATCAGCAGAATTATGACAGAAAAATAGCCAAAGTTGTAGAAAATAGCGGCGATGGCAAAAATCACTGCAAATAAACGACTAACACATGACCTAAGGCTGTTTCATTGCGATTGAACATTGTTTCAATACTGATACTGAATGATTGACAAGATTGCACTATTGCTTTATAAAGAAAAATCCCAACAAAACGAAGCGAATTCCAACTTAGGCGATTACCGCAGGGTTTGCGCAAAGCGAAATCGGCTTCATTGCAGGATCACGACGGTGCAAATGTGCGCGCGGCCCAGTTCGCCGGCACCGCCTCCACATTCACGTTCGTTCTCACGGCGGGCGACGGCCTCGGCGCGACGACTCACGTGTCCACCTCCTGCTGCAACCGCTGCCGTGACCAGTCGAGCGCCTTGAGGCGTCCGTAGAGGAGCAGGTGCTCGTGCACGTTGAGGGCCGGGAAGAGGACGTCACGCTGCAGGCACACCCCCAGCTGACGCCGCACCTCCGCCATGTCCGTGCGCGCGTCGTGCCCGCCCACGTGCACGGAGCCGCTGCTTGGCTCGTACAGACCCATCAGCAGCGACCTGCGGCGAGCCGCGTGGTGGTGGTTGTGTTAACTACCTCGCCTGGTGTACAGAATCTGGCATAAAATGTACCCCCCGTGATAGACTTGGCACTAGGCAATTCTGGGGTGGGCACCGCTCTACTAAAGTCCCTTAGGCCCATCCAGGTTCACCCTCCACGGTGGCGAGATGTGTTCCCCCTTGCCTGGTATACACAAGGTCGTGGGTTCGATCCTGAACCTGACGCCTGCTGTTTACTAGAAGTTTGCGTGTCTCTCCTTCCCCTTGATCGCGTGCATTTCTCTCCGGGTCCTCCAGTTTTTCCCTCCACATTTAGAATCAACGTTGCTTTAAATGTCCACGTGAAAAGCCACTTCGTTGCGCTATCATTTGTGGCCGGGTGGCTTCTGAAAGTGAGTGGGTCTTACCAGGTAAACCAAAAACTAAGGTTTTTTTCGTCATCGTTTGTGCTCAGACATTGCGTTTCTCCACTGATCTGTGCAGGAGTTCCAACTCCCATAGCTCGAACACTACCACGGTGCAGGTTTACACTTTCGCTTTTTCATTTTTTTTTCAAATGTTCCTCCCATTTTATCCTGACAGTGCTATCACCATCAAGTCACGATACGAATTTACCATAGTCTTAGTTTATTCGGTTAAGTCACGTTGAAGGGAAACAACAAAATAATAAAATATATATATAATATATATATTTTATTATATATATTATTTTGTTGTTTCCCTTCAACGTGACTTTACCGAAAAAACTAAGAATATGAATTACTGCAGTCACGAAAGCTTTAAATCACGAATTTACCATTCGCACCTTTCGCATAGAGGTGCAACCATTCGTGTTAGAGAATGGCCCATGAAAGCAGATATTACAGAACTACCCCCGAGATCTCTTAAAGTAATCTTTGGTGTGCACAGTAGGGGGTAATGTTTGCCACATGACAGTAAAAACTATATTTCATTCTCAGCACTGGAATTTAGCCAAATTAAGTGCTGAACCAAATGTAATGTGATTTATTCCAGCACCCTGATAATGGTTTGCAATATTCCAGCGTTATAGAATGTTACATTATTATTATTATTATTGAGATCATTGGTGACCGGGCTGTGAGTAACTCACTACCTTTGAGAACCCAGTTTAATCACAACCAGCTGCCTGGATTCAATCCCAGATCTCCACTTGTATCAATAATCGAATTCTTGCATTTCCTAATGAACAATTGCATGTATATGTTTAAATCGCTAAGCAGGGACCCCAATGCCCTCATTGCAAAGTCACCAGAATGACAAACTCTTTGCAAGAATCATTTGCCAAAGGATTTTCAGAGGGCCCTCCGAGAATGGGAACTGGGAAGCTCTCCAGGGGCGACAGACGAATGGAAATGACAATTTAACGGGAAGAATGGAGAGTGTGGAGTTGAAGAATGGAGCTTAGAAAACCCTGAGCTGAGGAATTCCACGCTGAAAACATTCGTTTACAGGCAATGCATCTTTCTAGAAATGCCATTTCACCAATAACATTACATTGCACTTACAATAACAATAAACATGCCGAAACATAGCTTCCCTAAAAACGTCACATCATAAAACGTGAGCTTACATTTTATAAACATAGTTTTACTAATCAAATATTAGTATACATATATAAGTTACGTGAATTTACATCATTAGACCAAAATGTAATAATAGGATTTTCCCCTTTTTTCTGGCAACAAAACAGAAACCTTTTTACGAGGATTCATGTCTGCATTAACCACAATACCTGCAGTCAAAATGCAAAAAAAAACATACTATGATAATATATGCATTGTCCTTGAAACTGATTGGTCCACACCAAGGGACGGCTTTCTTTTGAGCCTCGACCAGATGACATAAATCCTTGAAAAAGGTTTCAGTTTTGTTGCCAGAAAAAAGGGGAAAAACCCTATTATTACGTGAATTTCATAACTAAAATGTCCATCTGAAACTACTCAAAACAATCTTGACTTGTTCAGAATTCCCCTGCTGAACAAAAAAAATGTATGTCATTGGCAATCAAACCAATAATTAGTCCCACTTTAAATAGATAACTTATCATATAATTCTAACGCAGATTCACACGTTTTTTTTTGTTGTTAAACAATTCACACTCACATGAACTCAGCACTCATTGCAGGCCTGACATTGGTGGTACGCATGTTAAAATGGCATTCTTAGTGGAGGTGAAATGCTTATCATAAGCGGCAAACGTATCACCTCGAGAGAAAACGCAACAAAATACAACAAATCCAGGCCTTGAAGGTCTACTACTGGCCATCTCGCACCAGTGGGAGGGCATGCGGTTTGCAATCGGAATGTTACGAGAGTTCGAACCCCAGCTGAGGGTCCACTCGAGCCTTCATGGGATGAACGACATGAGTGTCAACTTTGGGGCAAATTCAACAGTGGGTGTCCTGTGGGAAGACTCACGTCCGTCAAATGAATGTGGAATTGACACACTGGCTCGGGACTGTAAAGGGGCAAAGAGCATCACGCCATACTCAATTGAGCGGGAAACAAATGTGACTTTGACTAATCTAGTGGTTATCAACCAGCGAATTATCTAAATAGTGTTGTAAGCCCTAAGCATGCTCTGGATGATGCCTCGTGAGAAGCAAAACTCCTGCAAGCCGGGCCCTCTTAACTCACATGGTTGTGGTCTTGCCAGCTCCGTTGTGGCCCAGTAGAGTGGTGATCTGATCCTGATAAAAGTCCAAGCTCAGGTCCTGGAGAGCAGCCTTCTTTCCCTTGCTGTACTGCTTTGTGAGGGAGCGCAGCGACACGCCGGCTGTCAAGTCCGCTGGAACCGCCTCCAGTTGCGGCCTCATACTGCCATCTGGTGCGCCAAGCGGAGATGTACACGAGCATTCCGTCACCCCCCGAAGCACGGTCTATTCTGACCGGTCACAACTACTTCTCACGTTGTGCGGACGTGATGTAATGATAATAATCATTACATTCATATTACGCCTTTCATCACGGATCTCAAAGCGCTGTACAGATCAGCAGCAGCACACACTCAGCATAAAATAAAATAAATAGATTTTAATAATTTACCAAATTAACTAAGAGTTTAATAAGCGGATGCGTATAAATAGGTTTCAAGGCGCATTGTTATAAAAATTTCCACAGACTCAGAGATCCTGATGTCTCGTGGAAGAGCGTTCCGTAGCCTGGGGTGCTACACGGGGAAAAGCTCGGTCACCCATAGAGCGAACCTCGACCTGGGAATGCAGGGAAGATCTGCATCCCCACATCATAGGGACCTTGAGGGTACCAATAGGTGCAGCATGTCAATGATGTAGGCTGTGGCAAGATGGTTCAACACTTTGTAGCAGTTTAAAGTCACAATGATGGATATACAAGAGAAGTTAATGAACAGGCGGTCTGTTTTAGCGATGTACGGTTGAGAGTGGTCTGCTCATCGATTGTAACTTGACGGCAAGAATAACTTCGCCAAACACAGATTCAATCAACACTGCCCACACTTTAGGGCCTGACTCGAGAGGAAAATGGGTCACTGTGATGCGTGGCACATCTGATCAATGGTCTAACCACTTATGAATCGCTCTCACCTTGCCAATTGAACAATCATCGTGATTGAGGGTGTGAATTGCCCTTCAGATGCAGCAGGAGTCAAGTTCAGCGATACCAACACCATGCAGACATGACATAAGCACAACGTGTGCTTAACTATTTGCAAAAAAACCCCATTAAAAGCAGATTTAAACATTCTGCGGCAGAGCGCTGGCGCAGCGCTCAGTGCTCTGTGCTATAAACCACGTGATCTGAGTGTGATTCCTGGCCATGGTTGAGATCAGCGGTGAGTGATATACAACACATGTGGTGAAGTATGGTCAAACGACTCCCACGACTGACACAGTATGGGGAGGCCTTCACCCATCAGGAGATGGACAAGAGGCCATGAATTGGTACATTCAGTCAATTAACTAAATCAATGACCTCCGTTTAAAACATGTGAGAGCACATTGAGACTGCAAGTCTCTTTTTGAGGGTGAGACCTGGAAATGGAAATCCGCAAATGCATAAGGCAGGTTATAATTTGACACATCAGGAGTCAATGGCAGAACAAACACATGTCAACTGGAGATTCACGGCAGGCCCAGTCGAACATTATTGACAGTCTTTAAGCACCGTAAGTATTCTCTTACCCTTTGCGTCCGTCTTGGAATCCGCGGATGACTCTTGAGCCATGTTTCTGACCAGGTATCCCATGGGCCTTCGACGAGATCCGCAGCAACAAACCTCCTGCCAATAGCTCACCGTGAAGAGGAAGTAGAACGGCCGGGCCAGCCCATACGTCCCTGGAAACACAAAAGGCACCACGGTGACGAGATGCTAACTACCTCGCCTGGTACGCAGGAGGTCGTGGGTTTGATCCCGACCACGACGCCTGCCGTATATTTGGAGTTTGCGTGTCTCTCTCCCTGTGGTTGTGTGGATTTTTCTCCGGGTCCTCCGGTTATGCCCTCCATATTTGGAAACTTGCGTTTTAGGGTATTTGGCTGCTATAAATTTCCACGTGATAAGCCACTTCGTTGCGCTATCATTTGTGGCCAGATCTCTTCTAAAAAGAGCTATATAGCTCAGTGGGCCATACCTGGTATTACGTGCACTATAATATTACTGTATTTTATGTTTCGTTATGAAACATTAATGTTGAATTTAGAGTTGCTACGTGCAGCGCACATTTGTGATGGACTGGATTCATAACAGTGTGCGGTAACAAACGATCAGACTTAGGTGCTTTTCAGATTGGAATTGTATTTTATGTGCGACATTTCAGCCTGTTTTACATAATTGTATTAATTTCACTGTGCTAAAATATGTATATTTGGTTTGCTGTAATGCTTTGCTTCATTCGCAATAATTTAAACTTAATTTTTTCATACACTGTGTTGTTCATGCTGTATTTTCCAAATGCTCGATATTGCTATGCTCATTGTATTTTCTTGCAATAGACTGTTTTGCAATGCGTATGCAATACCACTATGCTGAATATACACGTGGGGTGCTTACACTGCCGTGTTAACGTTTGTTTGGAGTTCCTAGCATGGCACATAATCTCGTGGTATGCACACTACGTTGCACACAGTTGTGTTGCAAAGTTTCAGCATAGGTGTGTGAAATTACCGAACGGACAATTTTAAAGGCTCAGTTTAGCCGATCACGCGGCCTAAATATTGTACAGCAACAGACCGTGGGAATATAATTTGGACAGGTGGACCAATCTAAAAATCCAACGACACCGACAGAGGGTGGAGGCCTGTACGCTCTGCCGCTCACAGTGTCACACTGACCTGGGTAGACGTTGCGGATGTACCAGCCCAGGATGAAGTATATGGCCGGTGTCAATTATCAGCATCCAGCACAGGTAGGCGAAGGAAACGTCATCCCCAAACAAGGGTGAATGGTACATGTTGCTCCACTGGACGCCTGCGTGCACACACACGCAAACACACCACACACACACACGCAAACACACCACACACACACACACGCAAACACACCACACACACACGCAAACACACCACACACACGCAAACACACCACACACACACACACACGGGTAGAGCTCTCATAGGAATACAGGTGCAGTGCTGGGTAATCAGGTTTGCTGACAAACTAAAGTGCAGTAAGAGCATATAAATACTTACACAGGCAAAGGTTATGCAGCATGATCTCTTTGTTTCCTGGATATTACTTTTGCTCCATATACTGTTCTCTCACATGATCATATTGTGTTCCAGTATGTTTGCTATTTGGACATAATACACTGACACCTCTGGAAAGTACCTTGTGAGTTTAATTTTAGTTTTACCCTTTTTTTTTAAACGAAACTTTTCGGACCATCTCTTGAAGGTGAGACGAAATTAAAACTGGCACCGCCTGGGGAACTGTCAACCAATCCCTCAGGGGGGTCATGGGTCACTCACCGATACCCTGGTCTTCAAAGTGACCCATCAGCTGACTTGCATAGCTGAACGCCGTGGGTGATAGCAGCACTGCAGAGCAAGGAAAACGTGATTAGCGTCTTGAGATGCGCCGGCAGGCATGTCTTGAGATATAGTTACGTATAAGACGCTCCATGAATCCAAATGCTATTGTTTTGTATAATTACTGGCCATGGTTAAATCATTGCCCAACTGTGTGGCTGATTAATGAGCCTAACATTGAGGTGTGTATATCTTATGTGATGATTACCGCTCCATCTTCATGGTCCAGTGTGCTGGGCATGGTTCCCCAGGACTGTAACTCATGGTGTACGGTACTGTCATTCTGATTCGGGTGTGGGGGAGTGGTGGTGCAATGTTTATCGAGCTGCGCAGTGAGCGGACTTAAGTTTGAATCTTCACCATGGCTCATGTCAGCGGGTGAGTGATATCTGAAACCAGTCCCGGACCCAACCCACTATGACCAGCAAAGTAAGCTACTATGATCAAACACACTATCAAGGCATGGGGAAGCCTTCATCCAGCAATGGTTTGAGAAGGGGTAGCAATTATTTATTTTATGTGAATCACAAAATATGGAAAATGTCTCTGTGCCTAATGGTAGTTGTTTTCATGTTTTCTCGTGAATGCGCAAGCAAAGCCATTTACAGCACAGCATTCTACTGCTAATAATGCACAAACACAGGTGTAATTCATTACCAGAAAAATAGTGTTTTGATAAGTGATAGCTCACTATGTGCATATCCTAGTGCAGAGGTTCTCACGATTATTGCTGGTCTGAGGAACCCATACGTACGATCACTACAGTGGATCGGGTTCTGTGCTTGTAAATGCTGAAGGGCAGTATTAATACTGCCACTGGATGAAGCCAGACCAGCGGGTGTGGGTAGGTGCCAGTTTGCAGGTCTGTTCCCGTGTTCATACTGACAGAGAGTCTTTGACATTTCACTTGGCCTCCAATTGTAGCTGGTCTAGAACAAGCAGTGATGGATGTTGGCTGGGTATTGTATGCAGGACCGTAAGCAATGTTCTATCCCTTCATTAGAGCGTGAATCCCGTGCCACTCTGTGGACCGCGTGTAGACTCCCAAGTCCTGTCGGAACCCTATAACAATGCACAGGGGACCCTGAAAAGACCGCACGTGATGCTGGGGAACAGTTTGCGAGGGATATTTTCGCCTTTAGTCGAATATCGTTCACGGGTCGATTTAGACCACAACCGCTAATCTGCTCTCTGGCTGAGCAGGTGATTGTGGCTAAATTGGCACAGGTTTTCCAATTAACTATCTTGATCGAATAATGTGCAGTCGATCGATTCAACGTGCAGCCTTTTGTGACTTGGCAGGGAGTACCAAACTAGCCACGCTCCTCGAGCTTGAACGTCTTGAAGCCGGGACCTTTATCAGCGCCGCCTCGACACACGGGCACGACCGCTGCCCCTCTTAACCCCGTAAGCGGCAGTGCGACGCGCGAGCTCTCGTCACCGCGGGCGTGTACTCACGATGAGCGACTTCTGCCACCGCGTGAGCTTCAGCGTGAGGCTCGAGAGGGCCAGGAACGGGAAGAAGCTGAGCAAGTAGATGAAGCAGGCGGTGAGGGAGGCGACGTTGGTGTGCGTGAAGCACGCGCTCAGCATGTACCCCATCGCCAGCACGGAAATGCCGAAGCACAGGAAGAGGGCGAGGAGAAGTGCCCAGTTGATGCTGGGCAGCGTCCCGCTCGCTTTCAGGATCACCGTGAGCAAGATGACCATGAGCAACAGCAGCGCGCAGCTCTGGAGCAGCCACGACAGGAAGTGGCTCGCCGGCCGCACGCCCATGATGTTCATGTACTGTGGTGGACGGGGGGCGAGGTGTGGGGTCGGCACAGACGGGGTGGACGATTGGCCGTGTCACCGCTTGTTCACTCGCTGGTAGTCGTCAAGAGAGGCGTCACGTGACGCGGGGCAAACGCCGCTTACCCAAACATTCTATTGCTACATCCCAAGATTGTTACAAACATTGGTAACGATGCAATGACAATAAACGTGCTAAGATAATTATACGGATTGTGATGTTGTTTTGTTTTACATGCTGATGCCCAGCATTTAAGTGCCCACTCTAGACAAACTATGTTTGCAGCGTACCCTGCTCACGATACGATTGCTCTGAAAAGAAGAGGGGGCTCAAGACACTCGTCTCTTGAGCCTAGTCACGTGCTAGACTAGATCAGTCACGTGCTAGACTAGACCAGTCACGTGCTAGACTAGACCAGTCATGTGCTAGACTAGACACGTCACGTGCTAGACAAGACTTGCCACGCACTAGACTAGGCTAGACAAGCCACGTGCTAGACTAGACCAGTCACGTGCTAGACTAGACAAGTGACGTGCTAGACTAGACAAGTCACGTGCTAGACTAGGCTAGACAAGTCACGTGCTGGACTAGACAAGTCACGTGCTAGACTAGACAAGTCACGTGCTAGACTAGACAAGTCACGCACTAGACTAGACTAGACACGCACTAGGCTAAACTAGTCATGTGCTAGACTAGACAAGTCACGTGCTAGACTAGACACGCACTAGGCTAAACTAGTCACGTGCTAGACTATGCTAGACCAAATTTCGATTTAAAGCTTTCGTGACTGCAGGGATTCATATTATTGGTTCTTTCGGTAAAGTCACGTAGAAGGGAAATAATAAAATAATAAAAATAAAACATAATACAACAAAATTCTCACAACGTTTCAGCCACAACGCAAGCAGCCGTCCTCAGTACAGCTCTGTTCTTCACCTGAGGACGGCTGCTTGCGTTGTGGGCGAAACGTCGTGATAATTTTATTTTATTATGTTTAATTTGCATTATTTTATTATTTCCCTTCTACGTGACTTTACCAAAAGAACCAAGACTAGGCTAGACCAATCAAGGACTAGACTAGGCGAGTCACACGTTAGACTAGGCTAGGCTAGACCAATCACGGGCTAGACCAGACGAGTCACACATTAGACTTAGCTAGGCTAGACCAATCACGGGCTAGACCAGATGAGTCACACGTTAGACTAGGCTAGGCTAGACCAATCACGTGCTAGACTAGACGAGTCACACGTTAGACTAGGCTAGACCAATCACGTGCTAGACTAGACGAGTCACAAGTTAGACTAGGCTAGGCTAGACCAGTCACGTGCTAGACTAGACGAGTCACACGTTAGACTAGGCTAGGCTAGACCAATCACGGGCCAGACTAGGCGCGTCACAAGTTAGACTAGGCTAGGCTAGACCAATCACGTGCTAGACTAGACGAGTCACACGTTAGACTAGGCTAGACCAATCACGTGCTAGACTAGACGAGTCACAAGTTAGACTAGGCTAGGCTAGACCAGTCACGTGCTAGACTAGACGAGTCACACGTTAGACTAGGCTAGACCAATCACGTGCTAGACTAGATGAGTCACACGTTAGACTAGGCTAGACCAATCACGTGCTAGACTAGACGAGTCACAAGTTAGACTAGGCTAGACCAATCACGTGCTAGACCAGACGAGTCACAAGTTAGACTCGACAAGAGGCTCGTCTCTGAACACGTCCCCCTATTGCGTGATGCAGACACTCGAGCGGATGTTGCCACAGAGAAAAGCACACCTCTGGAGGAGTGTAACGATGCATTTATTCTGCGATTAACGTTGACTCTTAACACATGCATTGAGTCGCGTGTGCAATGATGGACGATTTATTTTTGTACTTGAAGATATTGCGTGCAACGGTTTTTCACGTGGATCCTGGCAGCCATTGGCGAGGGACACAGTCACCGTGGTGTAAACGAAACCAGCCGATTCGTGAACCGGACCACAGCCCGGAATCGTCACATCAATCGGCATGCCGACGATTTATCGCCTGACAATTTCACAGGTTGTTGTTTTGTCTTGTTTCTACTCGCTCATTTGTGTTACTTATCTGATATTCTGGTTTTTTTTTTGTTTCTGCCATAAGCCTAAAGGTAACATTTTCGTGTTAGAAACTGTAATTAATTATTCCATGCACAATGGAATGCATTTATCATTAAATGAATTGACACTTTGTTTCACCCGTAGCCATCAATATAACAGTGTTGCATAGTGTGTTGCATAGTTAGGTGATGCATAGAGTGTTGCATAGTTAGGTGATGAAGCACAATTTTAGTTTTATCATAATAATTATAAGTGCCCACCTCCTGCTGGCAGAGTTCCTTCTCTTGCACCAGAAACTTGACAGTGCTTGCAATCGTGAGGATCCACGCGATCATGAACAGGATGGGAAACATCAAACCAACGCTGTGCAGGAACCTGCGCGTCATCCACAAGCACATGGCCAAGCACACGGCGATGATCACTCAACGTGCAGTCACAAAATGTGGACGCATGATACACCACGGCAAAGGAACTTAAACAAAAAAAACGATTAGCCGATCTTGACGTGGATAGGCAACTCTGCAGTTATAGATGATCCAAATATACACCCCGTGATTCTGCTAATCACACCCACAGTCGTGGATGTCATTTGAGTGACTCAGGTAACTGGCGTTCTTGACAATTTGTCAATCGAGCATGCTGAGATTGGAAGTTCAAGACCCAGTATGACTTAAATTTAAAAAGATACACTAATACACGCAAATATGCCAATCACTGGCCAAAAATAAATGTATTCTACAATGGTACATATGTGTAAACGTGTTTTGATGTAAAATCTGAGGATAAAATCTAAAATGATGACGTAAGGTAGCAGAGACACATTGGAATACTTGCTGTAGAGTCCTAACCCAGGGCTCGACCCTATTCAACTTTGCAGCCTCGCATGCAGTATGTGGTACTGAAATTGAAAGTATTAGGCTTTGACCTATACATGATCTCGGTTCAAGCTAGCCTTACTGCTGATGAGACACTGTATGTTGAAACCGGTCCAGAGTTTGCATGGATTGAAATAGTTAATCCCCAGAAGTGTACCTGTGATCGACTGGAAGTTTAGTAAAGACTTGAAAATGTAGTCACGAAAGCTTTAAATCAAAACTTAAAAATGTGTACGCGGGCTAACAGACTTTTTACGAAGGATACTTATCCTTTGATTGTTTATTTCGTTCCCCACGGCAATGCCCATGATGGTTTTGCATCGGCCTGCGTTCCACTCACGAGTCGTCCGTGTAGCAGGGGTACGGCATGGGCTGCACCTGCAACGCCGGCTCACTGATATTCCGCCCGATGTACAGGGAGATGGCGGCGCGCTCCAGCATGTCCTGGATGGGCAGGAAGGCGTGCGTGTAGTACATGTAATTCTGGTTGGTGTGCGGACCCGGCACCCAGACCAGGTCTCGGAGGTAGTCTGTGCGCATCACGTTCTGAATGCTCAGCCGCAGCGTGTAGTTGAGGTGGGTGGCCAGCGGGAGGTTTGAGACGGCACGACGGGAGCGGTCCTGTGCCTCGGGGAGGTGGAAGATGATACCTGCGGAGCAACGCCGTAAGAGATTAATGTTTGAAGTGCAGGACCGCACGGCAGCTTCAGCTGCTTTCGGATGGGCGGACTGCAGTTTAACCGCGGTGGTCGCCACCGTGACACTGACATAAACTATTAAACTAAATTATATATATTTTTTATTTTACCAGGCAAGGCCCACTGAGCTGTATAGATATTTTATCAGAAGTGACCTGGGCCACAATGATAGCTCTACGAAGTGGCTTATGATCACGTGGAAATTTATCGCAGCCATTACATTAAGTAATGTGGAGGGAAAATCCCAAAGCACCCGAAGAAAAATCCACACGACTTGTGTGATTCGAAAGACACACAATGGCTTTCCTGTAGTCTGTAATTATTTGTCCTATGTATTGGTGACTGAAATTTCTGACACTCAGTTCGCAGTCGTAATAATAATGATAAAGAACAATTATTTACCCTGGAAGCTTCAATGAGTCTGACAACTTTTTTATCAGTTTGGACAATGTTATAAATGAGTTTTTGGCACATGTGATCATTACAGTGCTTAAGAAAGTGCCTGATGTTTGAGATTTATTACAATGTCCACATGGAGACCAGTCAGCATGCAAAATTGTACCATAAATCATCATGTGACGTGTTATGACTGTAACCGCAGTGGAGTATAATTTATCATCGTACCTGTTGACCATGTAACTGGTATGAGTGCCACAAGTGAGTTAGTGTTCATAAAACTCCACGTACAATTGAGCACTGAGATTGTTTTCTTCAGTACTGTATTTGTAACCGCAATCATTCATTAAGTAGCATTATTGCAGTGAAAACAACAGCGACAAAGTGAGTTGTACCGTGCGTATTTGCTTTGTTTATTGAGTAGAGCGACACACTCACGTTTGCTGACAATGTTGTTGCATTACCATAGTAATTCAGTAAATGAAAGTGCGAATTGTGTCACCCTAAAAAATATCACTTGCGTGAATTCGAAAGGCAAACAACATGACAGTGAACCTTTAGCTGAAGCATATGACAAGAAAATCCCACGCAATGTGCCACCTCGTTAGCCCAGATGTACATGTCAAAGCACAGATCTACAGTACATGTCAAGGCACTACTCTCTTTGCTCAGAGAATAGTGCTTCGACATGTATGTCTGGGTTAAGGAGGTGGCGTTGACTCAGGGGGGCGTCTCCCCGAAGAGTGTGCAGACTTACTGGCCATGAGGTTGTTCTCCTTATTGAGTCCAATGGCCCTCGTGTTGAGCTCCTCCACAGAATCGCTCGGCATAAAGCGGTTGAGCTCCACGCACGATGAAATGTTCACCATGAGCGTGGAAAGCATTTTCAAGTTATCCATTGTAGTGTCAGTGAGTTGAACTCCAAGCTCCTCTGTGATACAAAGACAACGATTTCCTTGTTTAGCTTTGATACTATTGGGGCAAGTGCTGTCCAGCAAAGCACCTATGAAGGCCGGCACGACACTCACGAGGGGGTGGGTGACCAGCACCATGCCCGGCCGCCTTTGTCTCTCTCGTGGCAATGTTTACACACCACACCAGATTCTCATTTGAGGCTAAGTCAACCGAGGGGCAGCCCAGGAGTGGTTCAGATAATCGTCACTGGTGTTGGCTGTGAGTGGGAATCGAACTCGGGTCACTGGGTTCGTAGCGCACACAGGCAAACTGATTGCTAACACATTCACCGTCATCTTCCTGGAATGTTCCAAAGGAAAGTGCAACTATGGCTGTTGGACAGGACAAAGAGTCTGATATTACCATGCAAGGTGTGTGGTCTTTGCTTTAGTGTTTAAAATTGTATATATACTGGGGTTCCAACTGAAAGGAGAGAAAATTATTCCACTTTTTTGGTTTTATTCAACAACCAACCTTTCCTTACATCCACTGCATCCTAAATTAATTTATTCAGAACATTACAATATCTTCCTGCTCTTAAGTGGTAAGCATTGTTTGAAAGAAAGCATCATTATTTTATTATTATTTACATTTTCCTCTCATTTTCACTTTAAAAAACAGTACTTATTTGGTAAACAAAAATTTGTATTTTATAATAATTGTAAATCCAGTGAATCGTAGTGAAAACTGAATTAGCGATTCATGACGTGCATAGAAATGGTTCATCGTAATGAGACATTTCCAAATGTTGTATCCATATTTTAAAACCTGTACTTAACACTTTACTTCATTATAGTATACTAAAACGAAATAATACAGTAAAGTACGGATTAAAATAAATGTAAAGCTTTTCAGACCGTTTGAGAAAATCTTACCAAAAGATTTTAAGTTTTGCATGAAGCTTGTCATGTTTATGTTCAGTTGACTTCTGATTAAGCCTTGTACGAAGGGATTTGCCAGGGCATTCTGGCACGGAAGAGAAGAGAACCACACTCGGGAAATTGCATCCACAATAGCTGGACACATTTGATCATCAAAATCATATTTACCTCAACATAATTGTAATAAAATGTATCACAACTGAACAATAACTCTACTCTACGATTACCTTTCATATACTTGATGAATGCATTTATTTCAGCACATTTTCTTCAGAAGAATAATTTAGTTCAGCGTTTTAATTTGCTCATGCACCGAGATCAAATTAAACTTACCTTCAGTATTCCCAATTGTTGGATCTGCAAATTGGCATTTTGGTTACCCATGGCATCCAACCATTCTTGGGCATAGCTGCTTAATTCCCCCATTTTCTGGAATGTTGAATTGGCCTGCATATGACAAAACATTGCAACTATACATCAGTACACATGTTTAGGTACACATGTTTAGGTACACATGTTTAGGTACACATGTTTAGGGACAAATAATAACAAAACAAATGTTTTGATCCATTAGTTCAGGGGGTCACCAAACTACGGCCCGCGGGCCGGGATCCGGCCCGCGACGTCAGTCCATCAGGCCCGCCGACGGTACTTGAATTTGGTTGATAAAACGTATGGAACACGAGACGTTGTGATACAATTTAAATGCAAATATTATGTTTAGAATACTAGGAGATCTTCACGCGTGCGGAGACCTCCTGACTGCTATGTGTCCTTAAATGTACTATTTTAAATGTTAAATTATTGTCTCTAGATTTTCTTGTTTATCGTGATGTTTGCTTATTTCGCGCCATCCCAAGTCCTTCCCCGGCTCGTGGTAGCTCCGCCTACGCTCTGACGTTACCATGGTTTCCATGGCAACGTCATGGCAACACGTTACCATGGTTTCCATGGCAACACACACAAACACGCATCTTTCCCGCCCCCAGATTTTCCAGCTGTCAACACAGGTCCGACGCTCCAGAAATATTTATTTATTATGCGGCCCACGCTCATCATTCTTTCAGTTATCCGGCCCACTGTGAAAAAAGTTTGGTGACCCCTGCATTAGTTTATTAACTATTACTGCAGCTACATAAAACAGGATATCATTAAATGTTTACTTCTTTCACTACATTGCAAATTCGAGATTTATTTAAAGGTGCAGCCCTGTAATTGCTCGCTCAGGCCACTGCTGGCAGAAGGCCGTCCACTAGAGAGAGCTTCTCTCGCTAGAGAGGGCTTCTCTCTAGAGCTTCTCTGCAGGGTACTTCGAGTCCTCCTCTTCCAAGTTGGCCGGAGGTTATCGAAGAGGTGGGAGTACCCACACTTTACCCCACCACACATGACCTACAAAATCAACTGTGGGGTGTCCATTTAAACTGCCGGTAGGACAGAAGTGGGGAGATTTGAGACACTTGCCCATTCTTCCAACTGCCAGCAGATCGAACGGGTGAACCTCTGAATTGCAAGTCCAGCATGATAACCGTTATATCACTGCAAGCACGTTAATTTAATATTGATTTCATCCACATAATTTTGAACACTTCTTTGGCGAAGGCAACAGGCGTGATGTGCTGCATCGCCCGGGGGGATGCAGCCTCACCGTGCGGATGAGGAGTTCGGTCGCTGCACTCCTGGGCGTGTACAGAATTTTCCCCAGCATCAGCGGCTTCAAGAAACGCCAAATCACTTCGCCGTTGTTGCTGTGAATGATGTCCGTGTACACATCGAGACAGTAGGGGCCTTGGGGGGGGGGGGAGGAGAACACGTCACGGGATAATCACTGAGGGCCGAACATTGAACAAGAGACGAGATGGAAGCTGTCTCGGTTGAAAGATGCAGCAATGGACAGAGAGGGGTCAGGCCCCAATGCCCCAAAAGGCAACGGGCTAGACGAGGAAGGCTGCCAGGCCTTCTCGTTCTTGATTATCTTAGTCCGATCATTATTGCTCTTGTGACTACATGAGGTACGGTGTGGTAATGTTCGGGTTAGGGCTAGGTCCTTTAAGTAGTAGGGCAAACGAAACGAAACTCTGATACCATTTAATGCACTTCAAATTGCATGTAAATAATGTATCGTGGCCAATGCGATTGACACCTCCACATGCGCTCACAAAGACCAAAAGTGTCAATATTGCATAGAGATAAGGGAGATGTATGCCCAATAAAATACATATATAAAAAAAATAATTAAACTACTTATAGCCACATGAGCGCTGAGCTTTTGTTAACACCGGGTGATGTTGAATGTAATCTCCAAAGCTGTGTAAAATTGTCAACATTTTTCTTTTCAACACTCCTTTTTGCTAAAAAACGAAATTAATTGACGTATTTGCCCACGTGACAACGTGAATTGATTGGTTCTGTTGCATGGTGCGGGATTATCGTAAAAATACACTCTACCTCCACGATTCACATAATTAAGAATCATATAGCCATTTCTATCCCATTTGTTACGTAACCTCCGCTAAACTTCCCCCAACTCACTTGTGCCGTTGGGGATGTTATATTTAGCCTTGAAGTCTTCAGGGGAGAGCGATGATGATGATGATGGTGATGGGGTGGGAAGATTGACCATCCTCACGTCTGCCAACATCCTCTGGGTGGTCCCCAGCACAGAAGTTCTTTGAGAGTTTACTCAGAGACTGAGAGTTTGTGCTTCTCGCCTGCCGCGTACCTGGGACTGGACAGACCAACCGCGCAGCGCTCGGTGAAGCGGGACCCCTGTTTGCCTCGTGGGTAGAAAGTACATTACGGTTACACTCACAAATCATGGATCTTTAATACTCCCTCCAATTTTAGCTCCCCTTTCAAATGCGTATTAATTGATTCACTCGCTTTATTATTTTTTTTCAGTCTGGTGCCACCGTTGCAGAGTGGCTCGACTCACAAATCCAAGATTGCGAATTCAATTCCAGGTGAGGGGTAAAATAAAAACCCTCTGTCCGTCCAGGGTTGACGGAATATACTAAAAAACACGGTTGTGTTGTGTCGGGCGTCGTCGTGGAGGCATTCCCCCCCCGTGTGAGGCCCCCCCCCCCCCCCCCCCCCCCCACCCACCCCCCCCCCCGCAGTGCCACTGCACCATGTTTGCCATTCTAGAACATTATTATAGAACATTATTATAAGTTACATCACTCGCGGCCATCCATATTTAATTGATATTATACCTGAATAAGGTGATTGTTCTATTGAAACACTCGTCTCCGCCATAGAAATGAGGAATTTCCAGCCAGCTCACGGCCATGAAAGTATACAACCATTGTCACTGCCTGAATTGTGTAAAATTCCGACTTGTAAAATATGCTATTCACAATAAGATTGACCTGTGATATCTTTTTTTTTGATCATGCAATACATTTCTATCGTATCCATTCTCATTTACCGTTGGAGAAGGGTCCGTTACAGATAGAATCAATGAACTAAACTCGAATAAAATAAGCCACACATCTTTACAATACATAGCCATTGAAGGGAAAGATGCCAATTCTCTTCGAGGAAGCGTGTGTATTTGTTGAGAGCGGGCCACAGAGGCTGTTGCAGTGTGAGTGGGGCGTTACCTGGGATGACTGCATCATGTCGCTGATGTTCAATTGCCTCACCGCATCCAGCAGTTGTGGCAAGGTCGTCATGAATGGCTCTACCTTCTGCATTATCATTAGCAGCCTGTCAACGACTATTAACAGGAGGTTCTCAAAGTCCTTCAGTATCTGGGGAGTCAGCATCTGTAAAATGTACATGATGCATGAACGCACGCAGTTACATACAACAGACACATATATTGCGCATGCACGCAAAACACAAAACACGCGTGTATAAGATACTAAAGTTACCGATGAATGCCTCTTCATGTAGACAGCATTGCACAGTCTTATTTTGCTGACATTCACTCACTCGAGCACAGGCCATGAATTTCATCAACATTCATTTTCATCAATCCTTCATGCATCTTCCCTCTCTGGGCTGACATTGTTTTACAATTTGTCCAGGAATGATAATGCCATCTCTAGCCCCGCCCACTTACCCTTGGGTTGTACCCATCTCAAACATTTATAACCTTTTGGCTGCAGTAGCTCTCTCGCCACATTTCTTCCTGCCTCAGCAGTCCGCCTGCTGTATTTTTTTACCTGAAGACGATTGCTTGTGTTGCGATCGAAACGTCGTGATTTTATTACTTTTATATCTACGGGACTTTACCGAAAGACCCAAAGCGAATGATAATGTACCTTTTTTCCCATGAGTGCCACTTCTGTTCGATGTTCTACCGTTTAGACGGCGGTGTTCAAGCTTATTCTGGATACAAATGCTGACCAGATATTTCCTTCTCGAACTCATGAGAATATCCCACGAAATAATGCCTCACCCATCCTTGACATTACAGTACCCTCAAACCACCCATTATCTACAGTCCAAAAGCCGCTATATACGCCACTACTATAATTTTCACCGACAATGTATCCTTAATAACTTCCGCTATTAAATGCGCCCATTTTTCCCATCATCCACATTTTTTCACGGATAAGAGGGGTTATCCAGAAGCAGAGGTGATTTGTTTTAATATCCAAGTTTTTCCTGAGATGAGTCCACTAGCAGTGGCTTCCCACACACGTTTGTATTTTTTCACAGAGAAGCACAGTCAGCCATATAAATAGCACCGCATTAACCCTCCTAGCCGCGTTTGTATCCAGAAAACTGCGTGGATAACACGAGTAATGAGAGGAGAAATTTCCTCAGGTAAATGCGGATAATAGGATCTGTCCAATACCGCCCTCGACATGATCACCACAGACAAGAGGAGTTTGTGAGTGTGTGCTGTACCTTGCAGACAAGAGACTGTCGCCTACCTTGTAAATGACGTTGCGGATATTGATGTGCTCCAACAGAGCAATGACCATCTTGACGGAGGCGAGTGGGCTGAGGGAGCAGAAATCACGGCTGACATTGCCGCTTGTGCCCCCCGGGAACTTGAGAAGCAGAGTGAGGGTCTCTTCGTTACACATTTGGTTCACGCTTTGGATTATCAGTGGCGCCAGGTCATAAACCTTGCCAAAAAGAACACACACGTGGCAGAAATTAATTTGTGCATTCGTTCATTACAACATTTATAAGGCGCACAAGTCGAACTTAAAAGGTCATTCAAAGGTGCGGGAAAAACAATGTTGTTCAAACATGCATGTTCAAGTACTAAATGGACGCCTATTGCAAGGGCATTGCCTTTTTGTAGTTTGCCTTTTTCACGTTCTCTGGTCTAACACTGGTGGTGAAACAAGGCCATAAAAAGTCTGTCTCATGTGTAGGGCAATCAGTTTCAAAGACAATGTATATATTACCAAAACATTTGTGGTTAATGTAGACTTTATTCCTTGAAATAGGTGTCTATTTGGTGTTTGAATATCATAACAACTGTTTTATTGCCGGATTAGAGTTTAAGCCTATAATTAATATTCGTTGGTGTTTGTATAGACATTTGAATGATTTCAGTGCATTCGCTGTGTGTATACGAATGAGACTTTCCCATATTGTTGGACTGCCACCAACATTAGGTTACCATCTTAACCTGATGACTGGACATCTGTGAAAAAGAGCTTTAAAGCTCATCGGATTCCTCCAGTATAAATAAATATTCTGCTAAAAATTATATATTCTGAGTGGAGCACGATTACGTTGAAGTCAATAAACTACAATGTCAAAAGGTTAATTTCCCTAGCTTCACATTTACCGCACTGACTTTGTAAGGCAATACACGGAATAACTGACGATTCCATATATCTCTTCGTGCCCCCCTTCACCGGAACAAACTTCCCCTCCACATTAAGCAGTCACCTTCACTCACCATTTTCTGCTGCACATTCAAAACTCACTTCTTGTTCCCTAGCTCAACTCACTACGCCCCCTCAATCACCCCCTCATAATCACCACCACCGTTACTCTAACCTCTTCATAGTCTCATTATACGGTTATCACTCATTAACCTCATTAATTCAATAAATTGATCGATCATCATTCACTGTCATCAATTTTCATGTTCACCTAATTCGCACATCACAGATTTTCTCCCAGCGTTTCCTCTCATCTATTTCATTCACCTCATCTCCACCATCACATGCCACGTGAATTATTTGTAAAGTGCCTTGGTTAAGGAGCTATACGATAAGATACTGTACCTACGCAATCTATCCCCAAACAAACGAATTATGAATCAATTCCGCGTATACCTATTGTCTTTTTATATGCATTCATTAACCCCCCCCGCCCCCGACTTGGCGCAAGAAGAGACACACAAGTGACGTCACCACATCTACTAAGCCGCTATATAAGGAACGAAACAGGTGGACTTCTCCACAAATCTGGCTGTCGCCTGATGAAGCTAGTTGTAATTACTGCCAAAACGTCCTACTCAGATTGTAAATATTGTTAATTGCTCTCCAAAACACTGGTGTTGCTGTACCAGTAACGAATTGGCACGTTCTGTTTACGTGACAAACCTTACTAGTTGGCTGTGTCGGGTGGTAGCGGGTTTAACAACACATTTGTATTTTTACGCGATCTAACCCCCAAAAAACTGTATTATGGATAATATTGGTCGCGAAAGCCTACGTGTTAAAATTACAGTTAGTATTTGATCCCCTGCTGATTTTGTACGTTTGCCCACTGACAAAGAAATGATCAGTCTATAATTTCAATGGTAGCTTTATTTGAACAATGAGAGACAGAATAACAACAAAAAATCCAGAAAAACGCATGTCAAAAATGTTATAAATTGATTTGCATTTTAATGAGGAAAATAAGTATTTGACCCCTCTGCAAAACATGACTTAGTACTTGGTGGCAAAACCCTTGCTGGCAATCACAGAGGTCAGACGTTTCTTGTAGTTGGCCACCAGGTTTGCACACATCTCAGGAGGGATTTCGTCCCACTCCTCTTTGTAGATCTTCTCCAAGTCATGAAGGTTTAGAGGCTGACGTTTGGCAACTCGAACCTTCAGCTCCCTCCACAGATTTTCTATGGGATTAAGGTCTGGAGACTGGCTAGGCCACTCCAGGACCCATCTTCTTTGGTTCTTTCGGTAAAGTCACGTAGAATGAGAATAAAATAATAAATTGATAATATCAAATAACACAATAAAATTCTCTGTCTGGAGGACAGCGCTGTCCTCCAGACAGTCTCGTCCCTTCACCTGATGAAGGCCACTTGTGTTGTGGCCGAAACGTCGTGAGAATTTTATTGTGTTATTTTATTTTATCAATTTATTATTTTATTCTCATTCTACGTGACTTTACCGAAAGAACCAAAGAAGATGAATCCTTGCAGTCACGAAAGCTTTAAATCGAAAATCACTCCAGGACCTTCATGTGCTTCTTCTTGAGCCACTCCTTTGTTGCCTTGGCCGTGTGTTTTGGGTCATTGTCATGCTGGAATACCCATCCACGACACATTTTCAATGCCCTGGCTGAGGGAAGAAGGTTCTCACCCAAGATTGACGGTACATGGGCCCGTCCATCGTCCCTTTGATGCGGTGAAGTTGTCCTGTCCCCTTATCAGAAAAACACCCCCAAAGCATAATGTTTCCACCTCCATGTTTAATGGTGGGGATGGTGTTCTTGGGGTCAGCATTCCTCCTCCCCCAAA